ACGGCTGGATATGTACATTTCCAGATGATGGGTGCATTGCTGTAGGCGCGTGGAGACTAGGGGGTTACCAGGGAAGCGTAAGAGGAATACCTAGCTGGAAGCCTTGGTGTTTTGGAGGTGATGCACAGTTTTGGTAACGCTGGTTCTTTCTTTCGCCAAGAAAAGCCGAAGAAGATGGCAATGTCAAACTTATATGTATATGTTATTATAGGCTAGATATGTGCATGCTCTTAGAGGGTACAACACACTAGTAAAAACTCACCCTGTACCTTCTATTCTAGTTAATTCGTTACTCTGAGATGGTATCATGCTAGGTTAGGTCCTCCCCGCCCACCCGCGCTTCCGTCCTAGTCCTAGCCCTAGCCCTAGCCGCCCGTCGCTAGCCGCCCGTTGCTAGCCGTCCGTCGCTAGTCGCCCGTCGCTAGCCGTCTCTGCTAGCCGCTCGCCGCTCACCGCCGCTGGCCTCCCGTCGCCTCGTGCCGCCCGTATCCGCCAACCACCTGTAACCGCTGGCCGCCCGTAGCCGCCAGCCGCCCCTCGCTGCCAGCCGCCCGTAACCCGCACCCGTCAGCCCTAGCTCGCCGACCCCTGCTCGTCCACTGGCCCTGCACTCGCCCGCTGGCCCCCCTGCTCGCCGGCCCTAGCTCGCCGGCCCTTGCTCGCCGGCCCTTGCTCGCCACCGGCCTGCTGCCTATCGGCCCTAGCTCGCTGGCCCCGCGCGTCGGCCCCTGCACGCCGGCCCCTGCTCGCCGGCCTTTGCTCGCCGGCCCCTACTCGTCGGCCCCTGCTCGCTGGCCCCAGTCCGCGCCGGCCTCTGCTCGCCAGCCCCTGCTCGCCGGCCCTTGCTCGCCGGCCCCTGCCGCGTTGGCCCCCATCCATGCCGGCCCCTGTCCACGCCGGCCTCAGTCGCCGGCAGCCCTAGCCCCGCCGCGCCGCCGAGCCGCCGAGCCGCCGAGCAGTCGAGCCGTCGAGCCGCCGAGCTGCCACGCCGCTGAACCACCGCGCCGCCGAGCCCCCGAGACGTCGAGTCGCTGTGCTACAAGGCCGACCTACCGGCCTTGGCTTCCCCTCGGCGCCAATGCTCCCGCCTGCCGTCTCCACCACTCTCCACCGCTGTCCACCGCTCTCCACTGCTCGCCACTGCTCTCCACCACTCTCCATCGCTCCCCACCAATCTACACCGCTCTCCACCGCTCTCCACCGCTTTCCACCACTCCCCACCGCTCTCCTCCTCCTCCACCGACTGTCAGCTGCTGCAGCTGTGGTAATGGCGGACGCCGTGCTCTGCCTGGACGCGGAGGGTCAGGCGGTTGATTTTGAGGCGTGACTTGTCGACCTCCGTCGTAAGCTGACGGGTCAGCGTCAGGACGGCTATTTCATGACGCCATAGCGGGTCAGGGTGCGGGGCTCCGCAACCCTGTTTTCGTCAGGGTAAAATTTTTGTAACACTTTTTAGATCAGGGTAATCAATATCGTAAGTCTGATTTTTAAGACCAACCGAAAAAAGTCCCTAAAAAATCAGGGCAATCAGGGTGTTTCACCCGACTATTTTGGGCCCTACCACCTATGTCACTGGAAGTACCAGCACAACTCCCTACCGTTGAAACCAAGGTCCCGGAGACTGTACAGTGCTGTAGAAGGGTCAAGAAGAGAAGTGGCTAGGTTGGGTCTGGACCAGCGCTCCTTGTAGATTTTAGGGCTGTCTGAAAATCAGACGGGTTCTTAGAGATTCGTCTGACAGTCAGATGGTTTTTTTGGGTTGATTTACAATTCAGACGAAATGCAAGCACGTGTCTGAGAATTCAGACGAATTTGATCCTAGTTTTATTAGCGTTCACCAATACTACCAACATAGAACATTATGTCAAAGTCAGACTACTGCAGCTACTGCCATACAAGAAATAATCATCAGCTGCTACCATATCAGGAATAATCAACAGGCTATTGCAGAGGTGAGCTCAACTAAGCTCACAAACTACTCCTAACAGCACTGCTGTTGCTGCTACTCCTGCTAATGCCGCTACTGGTGCTGCTGTTGCTGCTGCTACTGCTGTTGCTGCTGCTAATGCTCTTGCTGCTGCTACTGCTGTTGCTGCTGCTACTGCTGTTGCTGCTGCTACTGTTGTTGCTGCTGTTACTGCTGCTACTGCTGCCTGCTACTGCTGCTGAGGCTGCCTGCTACTCATGGTAATGCATTCAGTCAGAGTCGGTGTCGCTGTCCACAGGGGCCTCCTCCTCTTCCTCAGAGTCAGATTCAATGGCAATCTTCTTCCGCTTGCCCTTCCTCCTCCACACCGGGCCAGCTGCGGCATCATTCTCAAACACACGTGCTGCTTCTGCAATACCCAATGCCTCTACCTCTTGAGCTGCTACTGTTTCTGCCTTCGCTGCTGCCTTTGCCGCTTTAACTGCATCGGACCACTTCGGCTTCTTTGTCGGCCTCCAGCCCTGTGCTATCATAATTTCTTTGGCAGGGCGCCGCTTCTTGACTCCCCTGTGCCACATGGTCACTTGTTCGTCCCACTCCATCTCGTACTCCAGCAGCGAGATGGTGATCAGCACCCCCACCACCTCCTCCCCTTCCTATCTACGGCCTTGTGTTTCCTCCGCCGGACCCGTCCGCGGCTCATTTCCCCCCTCGTTCCCCTCTTGTTACTCCTCCTGTGTCTCCTGACCCGACGCCTCCGTCCCAAATCTGGTCTCGCCATCCCTCTCGCACTCATCCCATGTTGCTCCGTTCCCACGCGTCACGTCCTCCCCTCCTCCCCTCGCCTCCTCCATTGTCAATGTTGTCGCTCCGCCTCCTCTGTCTAACTACCTTCGTGCCGCTCGTCCTCTTGTTCATCGGGTCCTTGCCTCCCTCGTTACCGACCCGTCTGTACCTGTTTCCAATCTTGACACTCTTGTCGCTGCTGTCGCTTACTTCGCCTCTACCCGCTGCCTTGACTACGCCACCGCTCTGGTCTCTGAACTTGTCCGTCCTTTGTTCGTCGGGGGTGCTCCTGCCCTTGGCAGTGACGTCCTAGAGGACGGGTAGTACAAGCTCGCTTTCCTATCTGAGGCCGCTCCCCATCTCTGTTCCATGCTGCTAGTCCCTGAGGGTGACCCCGACGCCCTTGACATCTCGACCCCTCGCACTTACGCTGAGGCGACCTCGGGACCCTGGGCCTCTCGGTGGATAGCTTCCATGGAGCAGGAGATGGCACCTTGGAGATCCACTGGCACCTACATCGACGTAGTTCCCCCACCTGGGGTGAACCTAATCGATGGCCGGTGACTCTTCAAGGTGAAGCGCCCCCCTGGAGGGCCACCTGTATTCAAGGCGCGCTACGTGGCTAGAGGCTTTAGTCAGCGCGAGGGTGTGGACTTCTTTCAGATTTTCGCCCCGACCCCGAAGATGACTACTCTTTGGGTGCTGCTGCACATAGCAGCATAGCGTGACTATGAGCTACATTCCCTCGACTTCTCCACTGCGCTTCTTCAAGGCAGCCTACACGAGCAAGTTTACCTGCGCCATCCATAGGGCTTCACCGGTACCTTCCCTCCTGGGACCCAGTGGCTCCTCCGGCGCCTCGTGAGTAGCACGACACTCTCCGTGCTACACTGGCTGACCTGCAGTTCTTCCTGTCGTCTGCAGACCCCTCGCTCTTCGTTCGTGCTGGCCAGACCCCATTCTCTATCCTTGTCTACGTAGACAACCTGGTCTTCGCTACTGCAGACAGAGACGCACTAGCCTTAGTGAAGGCTGAGCTGCTGAGGAGACACACCTGCACTGACCTAGGAGAGTTGCGCTGCTATATTGGCGTACAGATCTCCAGGGACAGAGCAGTGCGCACCATCACTCTCACACAGTCACACTTGGTGCGCCAGGTCCTTCAGAGGTTCGGTCTCCGGTTCTCCTCTGCACAGCCCACACCTCTGCCAGTAGACCACAGGCTCTCTGCTCCATTTCCAGAGGAGTCAGTAGAGCCCAGTGGTCTTTACGCAGAGCTGGTGGGTTGCCTCATGTACCTGATGACTTGCACTCGTCCAGATCTTGCATACCCTCTCAGTATCCTGGCTCGCTTTGTGACGTTAGGCAGACACCGGCCACAGCATTGGTTAGCCGCTAAGAGGGTTTTGCGTTAACTAGCAAGTACATCGGGCATGGGACTCGCGCTCGGAGGACGCAGGCCAGTGGTCCTTACTGGGCACACAAACGCTTCATGGGTAGACGACGCTGAGACACTCAGGTCCTCTCAGGGGTACTGCTTTAGCCTTGGTTCAAGTGCCATCTCGTGGAGGTCCATGCGCTCCTCGTCAGTTGCCCAGTCTAGCTGTGAGGCTGAGATCTATGGTGGTGCCATGGCGGCACAGGAGCTCCGCTGGCTGGCTTTCTTACTCACATACTTAGGTGAGCGGCTCAGCTCTGCCCCGGTCCTGTACGCTGACAACAGGGCCATGATCGTCCTGTGTCAAGAGCCTCCACTCGAGGGCAGAGCGAAGCACATCCAGCTGCGGTACTTCCTCCTGCGCAAGCTACAGCAGCGCCGCCAGGCCCGCGTAGTACACTTGGCCTCTGGTGCCAACACAGCTGATATCTTTACTAAGGCGCTTGCGTCTAAAGATACATCAGCGACACTATTTGCAGCTTGGTCTAGTTTCTGTCGCTCCTCACTTGCTAGGACTTTGATTGTGTACTCCTCTTTATATATACCTTCTTGACTGGCATTGTGGCTTCCCTTCCAGTGGTTGGACTAGTAGTGCCGCCCTGGTTTGCTCTTGTCGAGTTTGTACTCTTGCTGACTGGTCTTCGGACCCTTACCTCAAAGGTTGGACTAGTAGTGCCACCTTGAGTTGCGTGTCTCTTGCTCAGCACTGCCCCTTATCTAGCCAAGGGGGTGTGTCAACTTATACACATGTTTATCTGTAGAAGTTATAGGCTAGATAGGTTTGTATTCATAGAGGGTTCAACTCCAACCCTATATCCTCCCCTGTACTACCTTGTTCTAGCCATTCTGCTCTTCTAACAGTTCAGACGAATCCCCATACCTTAACTTGTCTGAACGATCAGACGAATATATTTGGCTTGTAAAAAAATGAGATGAAACTTAAGAAGCCGGTCTGATTCTTAGACCATCAGACCGATCTGGTCTGATAACGGGAGCCCTGGACTGGATGGTGCTGGATTGAGCTAGAAATGTGGCAGTGCACGTGAAAACAACAGGAAGTCAAACAGTAAGCTAACAGGAGGGAGGGGAGTCACAGGGAGTCTAACTACAACAGACAGATCATGCGTGGTGTAGAAGTAATAAACCACCTTCAACAATGCGCACACTACACGCGGGGTGCTTTTTGCGGGGACTTGTGGTTATTTTCATCTACCACACTTGCAGGCTTCAAGTCACCGCACCCTGGAGGCAGGAGGCAGCTCGTGGATCCCTCTCCACAAAATGCACCCAACCACCCACCCACCCACCGCACCCCACCTCTGTTGAGCCCTCGCGCCTGTATTGCACTGTCATGCATCTACTGCACCCTTTTTGCAGGGGGCGGCTCGTTGACGACGCTTGACCCGGCGGTGCGCTCGTGCCACTGCGGCTTGATCTTGATGCGCCCGTTCTTGGGTGATACTCTGAGCTCTTCTGCTCTTCTGCTCTTCTGCTCTTCTGCTCTTCTGCTCCAGACACTACAAGAATCTGCTGTGGTACTCTACTGCACCCTGTTTGCAGGGGGGGGTTCATTCACCACGGTGGACTCGGCGGTGCGCTCGTGCCACTGCAGTTCGATCTTGATGCGCCCGTTCTTGGGGGAGTCTGCGAGCATGTAGAAGTCGTTGATGCGCCCGTTGGTCACCACGTCCGCCAGCTTGATGTCGCAGTAGCCAATGGCATCCTGGAGGGAGGGAGAGAGAGAGTAAGGTAGGCAGGTGGATTCTGTGTTCCTCAAGGTCGTCCCCTTAGGCTCCTCGCCTCTCACCCCCAGATGGCCTCAATCCCATGCAGCACACCTCCATGCCCATGCTGCTGGTGATGTAAACAAGAACTGGGGAGTGGGGAGTGAGGAGAAGGATTGGGGAGTGGGGAGTGGGAGGCAGGGGGGAGTCTGGCGGTCAGCCCCTGGAGATCGAGAGACCGAGAGCGTGCTCCTTAGGGTAGAGGCAACCCAGTGCACCACGCACCTTCACGTGCAACACGTCCTTCATGTTCTTAGAGGCGGGTTCGTCCAGCAGCAGCTCCCACTTGTCGTCCTCGTCAAAGGTCAGCTCCTTGTAGGGTGGATGGATAGAGGCATCAGAAGCACATACCCTGGAGGCACCAGGCGCACCCACCCTGGACAAGAGCCTCCTCACCTTGGAGGAAATGGAGAGCGTGCTCATGTTCTTGCTGTAGACCTTCACGTGCAGCACGTCCCGGGAGGGTGGCTCGTCAAGCAGCAGCTCCCACTTGTCGTCTTCGTCGAAGGTGAGCTCCGCCGCCTTCTTGTGCACCTTGCTCTGCCACTCCTGGCTGCGGAAGCGCAGCACCACGTAGGGGTTGGCGTGCTTGTTCGACTCCAGGTTGTCGCCCTCCCGCAGGATCATGCGCAGCCGGCCCCCGCCGACCTTGAGCCACGAGGGGAACACCTCGATCTCCACATCGTCGGGCACTGCTTCCTCGCCCTTGGCGAATGGGCTGCCAGGGAGGGGAGAGGGAGCAGCGGAGAGCAGAGATGGAAAGGAAAATGGTGTTCGCATGAGAAGGGAGCATGGAGAGTGGAGGTGGAGCGAGAAAAGGGGTTGCTTCTGAGAAAGCGGGGAGGGCATGAGAAGAGAAGATGGGGGAGGCGCAGTTTCATCCCCCGTCCAAGTTGGTTGGCAGTTTCCTCCAGGGAAACCCTCCACGTCCATGTTGTCTGGCAGCGCCCCCCCGCCCTTGGCGAATCGGCTGAGAGGTCAGAAAGAGGGGTGAAGCGAGAAAAAGCTTTCCTGTAAAGCGGTGTGTGTGTGAGTCTGTGTGTGTGAGTGTGTGTGTGTGAGTGTGTGTGTGCATCTCTATACCACACCTCAACTCACCACAGCTTGTTTTGTCATAAGCAGCACTGAACAACCCACACCGCTGTCTGAGCACCTATCTGCAGGACGCAGGTAGGAAGAACTCACCGCAGCTTGATGTCGAAGGCCACCGACCCCAGGTCCTTCTTGCTGGCCGACTGCGAAGCCAGCTGCAGATCACCAAAGCACGCCACGAGCCGCAAATCTTGGTGCGTTACACCGCTGTCTGAGCACCTATCTGCAGGACGCAGGTAGGAAGAACTCACCGCAGCTTCATGTCGAAGGCAATCGACCCCAGGTCCTTCTTGCTGACCGACTGCGAAGCAGGGTCCAGGTCACCAAAGCGCGCCACGAGCCGAGACTCAAAGTGCGTGGGTGCGTCCTCCTTGATGCTCGCGAGAGAGACCTGCGTGACGCTCATCAGCTTGTCCGCCTTGCCCTGCGGAGGGTGGGGGGTGGGTTTGGGGGGAGGAGGGGGGTGGGTGGTGGGAAGGGGTTAAGGAGAGGCGCGAAACGCTCAAAGCGCCCTCCTCAAAGCGCCCTCCTCAAAGCGCCCTCCAGAGACGCCCACGTGATGCTCAGGAGCCAGTCTGCTTTGCCCTGGTTGAAACAAGGTGCGGGAGCGTGGTGGGTGCTAGCAAAGGGGCCTACGTTAGGGACCAGTCCCGTGTGTTTTGAGTCAAATCAAACCACACAAGGGTCTGGTGATCTCGCTGTTTTACCTCTTCTGCCTCTCCTCTACTGCCTTTCCTCTTCTGCCTTCACTCATCTGCCTCTCCTCTTCTGCCTCTCCTCTTCTGCCTCTCCTCTTCTGCCTCTCCTCTTCTGCCTCTCCTCTTCTGCCTCTCCTCTTCTGCCTCTCCTCTTCTGCCTCTCCTCTTCTGCCTTTCCTCTTCTGCCTTCACTCATCTGCCTCTCCTCTTCTGCCTCTCCTCTTCTGCCTCTCCTCTTCTGCCTCTCCTCTTCTGCCTCTCCTCTTCTGCCTCTCCTCTTCTGCCTCTCCTCTTCTGCCTCTCCTCTTCTGCCTCTCCTCTTCTGCCTCTCCTCTTCTGCCTTTCCTCTTCTGCCTTCACTCATCTGCCTCTCCTCTTCTGCCTCTCCTCTTCTGCCTCTCCTCTTCTGCCTCTCCTCTTCTGCCTCTCCTCTTCTGCCTCTCCTCTTCTGCCTCTCCTCTTCTGCCTCTCCTCTTCTGCCTCTCCTCTTCTGCCTCTCCTCTTCTGCCTCTCCTCTTCTGCCTCTCCTCTTCTGCCTTTCCTCTCCTGCCTTCACTCTTCTGCCTCTCCTCTTCTGCCTCTCCTCTTCTGCCTCTCCTCTTCTGCCTTCACTCATCTGCCTCTCCTCTTCTGCCTCTCCTCTTCTGCCTCTCCTCTTCTGCCTCTCCTCTACTGCCTTTCCTCTTCTGCCTTTCCTCTTCTGCCTTCACTCATCTGCCTCTCCTCTTCTGCCTCTCCTCTTCTGCCTCTCCTCTTCTGCCTCTCCTCTTCTGCCTCTCCTCTTCTGCCTCTCCTCTTCTGCCTCTCCTCTTCTGCCTCTCCTCTTCTGCCTCTCCTCTTCTGCCTCTCCTCTTCTGCCTCTCCTCTTCTGCCTCTCCTCTTCTGCCTCTCCTCTTCTGCCTCTCCTCTTCTGCCTCTCCTCTTCTGCCTTTCCTCTTCTGCCTCTCCTCTTCTGCCTTCACTCATCTGCCTCTCCTCTTCTGCCTCTCCTCTTCTGCCTCTCCTCTTCTGCCTCTCCTCTTCTGCCTCTCCTCTTCTGCCTTTCCTCTTCTGCCTTTCCTCTTCTGCCTTCCCTCTTCTGCCTCTCCTCTTCTGCCTCTCCTCTTCTGCCTCTCCTCTTCTGCCTCTCCTCTTCTGCCTCTCCTCTTCTGCCTCTCCTCTTCTGCCTCTCCTCTTCTGCCTCTCCTCTTCTGCCTCTCCTCTTCTGCCTCTCCTCTTCTGCCTCTCCTCTTCTGCCTCTCCTCTTCTGCCTCTCCTCTTCTGCCTCTCCTCTTCTGCCTCTCCTCTTCTGCCTCTCCTCTTCTGCCTCTCCTCTTCTGCCTCTCCTCTTCTGCCTCTCCTCTTCTGCCTCTCCTCTTCTGCCTTTCCTCTTCTGCCTCTCCTCTTCTGCCTTCACTCATCTGCCTCTCCTCTTCTGCCTCTCCTCTTCTGCCTTCACTCATCTGCCTCTCCTCTTCTGCCTCTCCTCTTCTGCCTCTCCTCTTCTGCCTCTCCTCTTCTGCCTCTCCTCTTCTGCCTCTCCTCTTCTGCCTTTCCTCTTCTGCCTTTCCTCTTCTGCCTTCACTCTTCTGCCTCTCCTCTTCTGCCTCTCCTCTTCTGCCTCTCCTCTACTGCCTTTCCTCTTCTGCCTTCACTCATCTGCCTCTCCTCTTCTGCCTCTCCTCTTCTGCCTCTCCTCTTCTGCCTCTCCTCTTCTGCCTCTCCTCTTCTGCCTCTCCTCTTCTGCCTCTCCTCTTCTGCCTCTCCTCTTCTGCCTTTCCTCTTCTGCCTCTCCTCTTCTGCCTATCCAGGTTTGCTATCACTCACCGAGAACAACTTTTGAATAGGGAGCACCTGCTCCCACTCACGGAGAACGACTTTTGAATAGGGAGCACCTGCTCCCACTCACCGAGAACGACTTTTGAATAGGGAGCACCTGCTCCCACTCACCGAGAACGACTTCTGAATAGGGAGCACCTGCTATCACTCACCGAGAACGACTTGTCGAACACCTCGACGTGCAGCTTCTGCTTCTCGAGGTCCGCCACGCGAATGAGGATCTCCTCCTTGCCCCAGTCGGGGTCGAGCTCGTCCTTCTTCACACTCGTTATGCGCCGCCCCAGCGTGCGGCCGTCCATGGAGAAGCGCAGGTACGGGTCCGACTTGCTCAGCATGCCCCCCTGGTTGCGCAGCTTGGTGCCCTTGATGTGCGTGATCACCAGCCAGCCGATGGGGGCGCTGCGGCCAGGAGGGGGAGGCGCAGAGGAGGAGCATAGGGGCAAGAGCAAGATAAGGACAAGGCCACTCCCAGGTTGCGCAGCTTGGTGCCTCGATGTGCGTGATCACCAGCCAGCCGATGAGGGCGCTGGGGGGAAGAGGAGGGAGCAGTGAGAACAGATAGGGTAGGGCGAGAAAGGGAGAGGAGAGGAGCAGTCATGCAGCATATAGCGTACAGCAGCTCTGAAGGCACTCACAGCGGCTGGTCGTCGTCGTATCGTACACCTCGAGCACCTTGGGGGCCACTTGCACCTTTTGAGGCGACCAATAAGCAGCTCAACGTGCTATAGCATTCGACACAGCACACACGCAGGAAGTCGCAGCAGCTGGTCGTCGTACACCTCGAGCACCTTCGGAGCCACATGCGCCTCGTGAGTCTCAGAAGTCACCCCCATGCAGTATAGCAGACCAAAGCCATGCCCTCAACACACTCACAGCGGCTGGTCGTCGTACACCTCGAGCACTTTGGGCCACATGTACATGCCCGCCACTGTGTTGGAAATGGTCTTCTGCTTGTGGGAGGTTGGGAGACGGGAGGAGAGGGGAGGGAGGGAGAGGAGAGAGGAGGGGGCGAGCGTCAGATGGACACGCCCGCTGCCCTGTTGGAAATGGTCGTCTGCTCGTGCGGGGAAGGGGTTGGGAGGTTGGTTGGGGAGACGAGAGGAGAGGAGAGGAGAGGAGAGGGGAGGGGAGGGGAGGGGAGGGGAGGGGGGGGGCATGCAGCAGGGCATGCAGCAGCGGTGCTACGAGCAGCACGGATCTGCACGAAGGTGTATCACACGCCAAAGAAGCCCATGACGGCCTGGGTTTAGAGACGCGTGAAAGGGAAACTGCACGGACCTAGCACGTGCAGTGCAAGTGAAAGGGAAACCGCGACTCTAAGCGCAGCAGCACGGACCTGCACGACTCTAAGCGCAGCAGCACGGACCTGCACGACTCTAAGCGCAGCAGCACGGACCTGCACGACACTAAGCACAGCAGCACGGGCCTGCACGACTCTAAGCGCAGCAGCACGGACCAGCACGACTCTAAGCCCAGCAGCACGGACCTGCACGACTGTAAGCGCAGCAGCACGGACCTGCATACTCTAAGCCCAGCAGCACGGACCTGCACGACTCTAAGCGCAGCAGCACGGGCCTGCACGACTCTAAGCGCAGCAGCACGGACCTGCACGACTCTAAGCGCAGCAGCACGGACCTGCACGACTCTAAGCGCAGCAGCACGGACCTGCATACTCTAAGCGCAGCAGCACGGACCTGCACGACTCTAAGCACAGCAGCACGGACCTGCACGACTCTAAGCACAGCAGCACGGGCCTGCACGACTCTAAGCGCAGCAGCACGGACCTGCACGACTCTAAGCGCAGCAGCACGGACCAGCACGGACCTGCACGACTCAAAGCACAGCAGCACGGACCTGCACGACTCTAAGCCCAGCAGCACGGGCCTGCACGACTCTAAGCACAGCAGCACGGGCCTGCACGACTGTAAGCGCAGCAGCACGGGCCTGCACGACTGTAAGCGCAGCAGCACGGGCCTGCACGACTGTAAGCGCAGCAGCACGGGCCTGCACGACTGTAAGCGCAGCAGCACGGGCCTGCACGACTGTAAGCGCAGCAGCACGGGCCTGCACGACTGTAAGCGCAGCAGCACGGGCCTGCACGACTGTAAGCACAGCAGCACGGACCTGCACGACTGTAAGCGCAGCAGCACGGACCTGCACGACTGTAAGCGCAGCAGCACGGACCTGCACGACTGTAAGCCCCCGCCCACGACTGTAAGCGCAGCAGCACGGACCTGCACGACTGTAAGCGCAGCAGCACGGACCTGCACGACTGTAAGCGCAGCAGCACGGACCTGCACGACTGTAAGCGCAGCAGCACGGACCTGCACGACTGTAAGCGCAGCAGCACGGACCTGCACGACTGTAAGCGCAGCAGCACGGACCCTGCACGACTGTAAGCGCAGCAGCACGGACCTGCACGACTGTAAGCGCAGCAGCACGGACCTGCACGACTGTAAGCGCAGCAGCACGGACCTGCACGACTGTAAGCGCAGCAGCACGGACCTGCACGACTGTAAGCGCAGCAGCACGGACCTGCACGACTGTAAGCGCAGCAGCACGGACCTGCACGACTGTAAGCGCAGCAGCACGGACCTGCACGACTGTAAGCGCAGCAGCACGGACCTGCACGACTGTAAGCGCAGCAGCACGGACCTGCACGACTGTAAGCGCAGCAGCACGGACCTGCACGACTGTAAGCGCAGCAGCACGGACCTGCACGACTGTAAGCGCAGCAGCACGGACCTGCACGACTGTAAGCGCAGCAGCACGGACCTGCACGACTGTAAGCGCAGCAGCACGGACCTGCACGACTGTAAGCGCAGCAGCACGGACCTGCACGACTGTAAGCGCAGCAGCACGGACCTGCACGACTGTAAGCGCAGCAGCACGGACCTGCACGACTGTAAGCGCAGCAGCACGGACCTGCACGACTGTAAGCGCAGCAGCACGGACCTGCACGACTGTAAGCGCAGCAGCACGGACCTGCACGACTGTAAGCGCAGCAGCACGGACCTGCACGACTGTAAGCGCAGCAGCACGGACCTGCACGACTGTAAGCGCAGCAGCACGGACCTGCACGACTGTAAGCGCAGCAGCACGGACCTGCACGACTGTAAGCGCAGCAGCACGGACCTGCACGACTGTAAGCGCAGCAGCACGGACCTGCACGACTGTAAGCGCAGCAGCACGGACCTGCACGACTGTAAGCGCAGCAGCACGGACCTGCACGACTGTAAGCGCAGCAGCACGGACCCCTGCCCCCCGCACGACTGTAAGCGCAGCAGCACGGACCTGCACGACTGTAAGCGCAGCAGCACGGACCTGCACGACTGTAAGCGCAGCAGCACGGACCTGCACGACTGTAAGCGCAGCAGCACGGACCTGCACGACTGTAAGCGCAGCAGCACGGACCTGCACGACTGTAAGCGCAGCAGCACGGACCTGCACGACTGTAAGCGCAGCAGCACGGACCTGCACGACTGTAAGCGCAGCAGCACGGACCTGCACGACTGTAAGCGCAGCAGCACGGACCTGCACGACTGTAAGCGCAGCAGCACGGACCTGCACGACTGTAAGCGCAGCAGCACGGACCTGCACGACTGTAAGCGCAGCAGCACGGACCTGCACGACTGTAAGCGCAGCAGCACGGACCTGCACGACTGTAAGCGCAGCAGCACGGACCTGCACGACTGTAAGCGCAGCAGCACGGACCTGCACGACTGTAAGCGCAGCAGCACGGACCTGCACGACTGTAAGCGCAGCAGCACGGACCTGCACGACTGTAAGCGCAGCAGCACGGACCTGCACGACTGTAAGCGCAGCAGCACGGACCTGCACGACTGTAAGCGCAGCAGCACGGACCTGCACGACTGTAAGCGCAGCAGCACGGACCTGCACGACTGTAAGCGCAGCAGCACGGACCTGCACGACTGTAAGCGCAGCAGCACGGACCTGCACGACTGTAAGCGCAGCAGCACGGACCTGCACGACTGTAAGCGCAGCAGCACGGACCTGCACGACTGTAAGCGCAGCAGCACGGACCTGCACGACTGTAAGCGCAGCAGCACGGACCTGCACGACTGTAAGCGCAGCAGCACGGCCTGCACGACTGTAAGCGCAGCAGCACGGACCTGCACGACTGTAAGCGCAGCAGCACGGACCTGCACGACTGTAAGCGCAGCAGCACGGACCTGCACGACTGTAAGCGCAGCAGCACGGACCTGCACGACTGTAAGCGCAGCAGCACGGACCTGCACGACTGTAAGCGCAGCAGCACGGACCTGCACGACTGTAAGCGCAGCAGCACGGACCTGCACGACTGTAAGCGCAGCAGCACGGACCTGCACGACTGTAAGCGCAGCAGCACGGACCTGCACGACTGTAAGCGCAGCAGCACGGACCTGCACGACTGTAAGCGCAGCAGCACGGACCTGCACGACTGTAAGCGCAGCAGCACGGACCTGCACGACTGTAAGCGCAGCAGCACGGACCTGCACGACTGTAAGCGCAGCAGCACGGACCTGCACGACTGTAAGCGCAGCAGCACGGGCCTGCACGACTGTAAGCGCAGCAGCACGGGCCTGCACGACTGTAAGCGCAGCAGCACGGACCTGCACGACTGTAAGCGCAGCAGCACGGGCCTGCACGACTGTAAGCGCAGCAGCACGGACCTGCACGACTGTAAGCGCAGCAGCACGGACCTGCACGACTGTAAGCGCAGCAGCACGGACCTGCACGACTGTAAGCGCAGCAGCACGGACCTGCACGACTGTAAGCGCAGCAGCACGGACCTGCACGACTGTAAGCGCAGCAGCACGGACCTGCACGACTGTAAGCGCAGCAGCACGGACCTGCACGACTGTAAGCGCAGCAGCACGGACCTGCACGACTGTAAGCGCAGCAGCACGGACCTGCACGACTGTAAGCGCAGCAGCACGGACCTGCACGACTGTAAGCGCAGCAGCACGGACCTGCACGACTGTAAGCGCAGCAGCACGGACCTGCACGACTGTAAGCGCAGCAGCACGGACCTGCACGACTGTAAGCGCAGCAGCACGGACCTGCACGACTGTAAGCGCAGCAGCACGGACCTGCACGACTGTAAGCGCAGCAGCACGGACCTGCACGACTGTAAGCGCAGCAGCACGGACCTGCACGACTGTAAGCGCAGCAGCACGGACCTGCACGACTGTAAGCGCAGCAGCACGGACCTGCACGACTGTAAGCGCCAGCACGGCCGCACGACTGTAAGCGCAGCAGCACGGACCTGCACGACTGTAAGCGCAGCAGCACGGACCTGCACGACTGTAAGCGCAGCAGCACGGACCTGCACGACTGTAAGCGCAGCAGCACGGACCTGCACGACTGTAAGCGCAGCAGCACGGACCTGCACGACTGTAAGCGCAGCAGCACGGGCCTGCACGACTGTAAGCGCAGCAGCACGGACCTGCACGACTGTAAGCGCAGCAGCACGGACCTGCACGACTGTAAGCGCAGCAGCACGGACCTGCACGACTGTAAGCGCAGCAGCACGGACCTGCACGACTGTAAGCGCAGCAGCACGGACCTGCACGACTGTAAGCGCAGCAGCACGGACCTGCACGACTGTAAGCGCAGCACCCTGCACGACTGTAAGCGCAGCAGCACGGACCTGCACGACTGTAAGCGCAGCAGCACGGACCTGCACGACTGTAAGCGCAGCAGCACGGACCTGCACGACTGTAAGCGCAGCAGCACGGACCTGCACGACTGTAAGCGCAGCAGCACGGACCTGCACGACTGTAAGCGCAGCAGCACGGACCTGCACGACTGTAAGCGCAGCAGCACGGACCTGCACGACTGTAAGCGCAGCAGCACGGACCTGCACGACTGTAAGCGCAGCAGCACGGACCTGCACGACTGTAAGCGCAGCAGCACGGACCTGCACGACTGTAAGCGCAGCAGCACGGACCTGCACGACTGTAAGCGCAGCAGCACGGACCTGCACGACTGTAAGCGCAGCAGCACGGACCTGCACGACTGTAAGCGCAGCAGCACGGACCTGCACGACTGTAAGCGCAGCAGCACGGGCCTGCACGACTGTAAGCGCAGCAGCAGCACGGGACCTGCACGACTGTAAGCGCAGCAGCACGGACCTGCACGACTGTAAGCGCAGCAGCACGGGCCTGCACGACTGTAAGCGCAGCAGCACGGACCTGCACGACTGTAAGCGCAGCAGCACGGACCTGCACGACTGTAAGCGCAGCAGCACGGACCTGCACGACTGTAAGCGCAGCAGCACGGACCTGCACGACTGTAAGCGCAGCAGCACGGACCTGCACGACTGTAAGCGCAGCAGCACGGACCTGCACGACTGTAAGCGCAGCAGCACGGACCTGCACGACTGTAAGCGCAGCAGCACGGACCTGCACGACTGTAAGCGCAGCAGCACGGCCTGCACGACGGCGCGCCGGCCTGCACGACTGTAAGCGCAGCAGCACGGACCTGCACGACTGTAAGCGCAGCAGCACGGACCTGCACGACTGTAAGCGCAGCAGCACGGACCTGCACGACTGTAAGCGCAGCAGCACGGACCTGCACGACTGTAAGCGCAGCAGCACGGACCTGCACGACTGTAAGCGCAGCAGCACGGACCTGCACGACTGTAAGCGCAGCAGCACGGACCTGCACGACTGTAAGCGCAGCAGCACGGACCTGCACGACTGTAAGCGCAGCAGCACGGACCTGCACGACTGTAAGCGCAGCAGCACGGACCTGCACGACTGTAAGCGCAGCAGCACGGACCTGCACGACTGTAAGCGCAGCAGCACGGACCTGCACGACTGTAAGCGCAGCAGCACGGACCTGCACGACTGTAAGCGCAGCAGCACGGGCCTGCACGACTGTAAGCGCAGCAGCACGGGACCTGCACGACTGTAAGCGCAGCAGCACGGACCTGCACGACTGTAAGCGCAGCAGCACGGACCTGCACGACTGTAAGCGCAGCAGCACGGGACCTGCACGACTGTAAGCGCAGCAGCACGGGCCTGCACGACTGTAAGCGCAGCAGCACGGACCTGCACGACTGTAAGCGCAGCAGCACGGGACCTGCACGACTGTAAGCGCAGCAGCACGGGACCTGCACGACTGTAAGCGCAGCAGCACGGACCTGCACGACTGTAAGCGCAGCAGCACGGACCTGCACGACTGTAAGCGCAGCAGCACGGACCTGCACGACTGTAAGCGCAGCAGCACGGACCTGCACGACTGTAAGCGCAGCAGCACGGACCTGCACGACTGTAAGCGCAGCAGCACGGCCTGCACGACTGTAAGCGCAGCAGCACGGACCTGCACGACTGTAAGCGCAGCAGCACGGACCTGCACGACTGTAAGCGCAGCAGCACGGACCTGCACGAAGGTGTAGAGGCCGGGGATGGCCATGACGTCCAACCCCAGCACCTTGAGGCCGAAGTCCACGAGGGGCTGTTATATTTAGGAGGGAAAGAGAGGTGGATGACACGACAAGAGGAACAAAAAGAGCGAGAGGGGCACGGTGAGGGGAGAGCGGCCAGGCCAGGGAGAGTCATGTCGTCCAGCCCCAGCACCTTGAGGCCCAAGTCCACGTGGGGCTGTTAGGGGATGGGAGAGAGAGGAGGGCACAGACGAGGACACGGGAGGATGGATGGGAGAACTGTGAACGCCAGGGGCATGGCGTCTGGCCCCTGCAACTTGTGACCGAAGTCCACGTGGGGCTTGGCAGGGCAGGGCAGGGGATTGGCAGAAAAAGAGAGGTGAGGGAAGGAGGGGAGAGGCGAGGGAAAGACAGGAGGAGGAAGGGCGGGACGTTCATGGCCAGAGAAGGAGAGCCATGAGCGTCCCGCCCCTCCATCCTCACGGATACCCTTGAGGTGCGGGCCTGGCACCGTGGCGGCCCCTCGCCTCTCGCCACGGATAGCCTTAAGGTACGGACCTGGCACCTTGAGGACGAAGAGACTCTTGAGTCGACCCCAAAGTCAGCTCGTTAGATGTCACTCACACGGATAGTCATGGGGTATACGACTGGCACGTTGAGACCAAAGTGGTGAGAGCAGAGGACGCACTCCCTCGACAAGGGAGACGGAAGAGAAGCAGGAAGGAGGGGAAGAGGAGAAAAAAAGGGACACGGCAAGAGCAGCAAGTGGTGTAGCTTATCCATGAAAGAGATGGTCATGGTGGAGACGCAGGGGAAGATGGGGATGAGCAGGGGAGGTGAGGAAAGAGGCGAGATATATAGGAGAAGGGGCCCTTTCAAAGGGAAGAGATCCATATCTTTTCCATAGAGCAGACGTGCCACGTGCCCCTTATCCATGAGAGACGGTGATGAGAAACGGTGTTTTCGGGACCGCCTTTACCTTATCCATGAAGGAGACGGTGATGGCGGAGAGGCAGGGGAAGGACAGATTCGAACATAGGGGGAGACACAGAAAGAGCAGCAGCAAGTGGTGCGGCTTACCCATGAGAGAGATGGTGATATCAGAACGGCCCGTACCTTATCCATGAAGGAGACGGTGATGGTTGAGAAGCAGGGGAAGATGGGGATGAGTGGCTTGAGGGTGATTCGCGTGACGGCTGACAGCTGCAGATCGATGATCTGATGGGCGGGCGACAGGCAAGGGGGCAGGCAGGGGGAGACGCAAGGGCATGCGGCATGGGAGGAAACAGGAACGAAGCCGAACAAGGTTGACGTGAGAGGTGAGCGGCTCTAGGGTGATGCGCGTGACGGCTGACAGCTGCACGTGGATGATCCGACCTGATGGGCGAGCGACAGGCAAGGTGAGAGCACGGTCAGAAGTGAGGCACTGAGGGTGGGGGAGGGGGGGGGGAAGAGGGGGAAAGGACGAGGGAATCGAGGGCGATGCGATGCGAGTCAGACTGACAGCTGCAGGTCTGGTCGATGATCTGATGGGCCGGCAGGCAAACAGGGCGAGGTTAGAGGCTCGGGGGAACACAGGAGGAAAAGGGAGGGAAGAGAGTGAAGACGTGAGGGTGATGGGGGCGAGGGGCTTGAGGTTGAGGGTGATGGGGGCGAGGGGCTTGAGGGTGATGTGCATCCGACTGACAGCTGCAGGTCGACGATGTGATGACCGTCAGCAGCCACCTCCACCGTGCAGGTAACGCGCATGGCCGTTGTAGGTCCCGCCAGTGGCTGGGATGTTGGGGTAGGCAACCCGGCGTAAGGAAGTCTGCTGCGGTGCTGATATTGGAGCAGCATGGAGCATCACCACACACTTAGAGTACCACCACCACTCTCTACCCATCTGCAGCACCAATGTTGGGGTTGGCCGCCCACCACGGCCTTGAGCACCACCACCACTCAACGCACCAACCAACAGCACCCACACGCACCCACCTGCACCGTGCCGGTGACGCCCTTGGCGGAGGCAGCGACTGTGATGTTGGGGTTGGCCGCCCAGCGCAAGGCGACCTGCAGGATGACCTCGTCGTCCTTCGTGTCAAAGGACTTGATGCCTGGGGGGGAGGGCGGGGGGAGGGGGGGGAGGGCGGGAGAGATGCGGAGAGACGGGGAGAAGACAAGGGGAGGAAGTGAAACCAAGATGGCCGCCCAGCGCAACGCGGTCTGCAGGACGACCTCTTCGTCCTTAGTGTCGAACGACTTGATGCCTGGGGGGAGGGAGAGAAATGGGAGGGACGGACATTGGGCGCGATTGAGAGAGCGAGAGAAGAGGGAGCGACATTGGGCTAGGATGACCTCGTCGTCCTTGGTTGGTGCCAAACGACTTGAGCTATTTTGAGGCGCCTAAGAAAAGAAGGATAAAGCGGCGAGGAACAAAGCAGACTGACTGAGAGCAGGAGGAGGGATCATCCCGAGGTCGAGCTCCGAAACTCGAGGGTTTCGTTCGATATGGTGAGGAGGGGAAATGGAGATGGGGGAGGGCGTGCGGAAGAACTAACCGATGACGGCCGGCGGGATGGTCCCGAGGTCGAGCTCCTGGAACTCGAGGGTTTCGAGGAACGCGGGCTTCTGGCCCTTGAGCATGGGCGTCGCCTGCTCGCGGATCTGCTCGCTTATGGCCTGACGGACGCGCGGACGGACAGATCAAGCGGAGTGTGATGTTAAACACCCAGGGGAGTGAAAAGACGGGAGGGAGTCAATGTGATGTGACGGTGAGACGGCGAATTTTGAGTCGATTATAGGTCCATGTATTTAAAATTTGACTGGGATGTCCTGCTCGTTCATTTACTGTCCGTCAAGTGCGGTTCATGAGGGTGCTTCACGTTAGAGCGCGATTTTCGCACGTCAGCAAAGCAGCAGAAATCTAATGAGGGGCGGATACAGCGCAAAAGGAAAGGGATACAATGAGAAGTTACCCTGTTCAAATAAGGCCACATCTCGGCGATGAGCTTGTTCATCCAATCGACGCGCTCGTAGTCCGGGTTGCTGACCCACGGCGGCAGGTACGAATAGTAGCGCTGAAGATCCTCTTCCTCCGGTGTTGTCCCCTCCGGTATAAGCTCCTTCACCTCTGGCTCCTGGGAGGGAAAGAACGAGGAAAAACCAGAATTACGGGGAAAAGAAAGGTGCAAAATAGAAATAAGTAACAGGGGAAAAAGGTAAAGAAACGGGAATGAAATGTTTTTGAGAAACGAGGAGTACCACGCCACGGGTGAAGGGGAAACATGGTGGAAAGAAGAAGGGAATCTCGAAATAAGAGAGGGAGAAAAACGTCGTCAGAAATTTTGGGGACGACCTCCACTGTGGTTGGGAGCTTATGTATGAAGTTGAAGCAGCCGGCGACTAAGCCGCCCAGCAGAACTCTTGATTTTGTTGGAGACTAGCATTTGGGGACTAACCTCCACGGCGGTTGGGAGCTTATGTATGAAGATGAAGTAGCCAGCGACCAAGCCGCCCAGCAGACCGATGGTGAATCCGAGCGTCTGAAGGATGTAGTGGAATCCCTTCACGACGATTAGGTAGATGAGCCATCGAAACGGCAGAAAAATCAGGTAAATCAGGGTCGAAATGAACCCCATTGTACCGATCTACACCGACGGGGTTACGAACAAGGGAGTGAATTCAAGAGGCGAGAGAACCCGAGGCAAGATTGGTTGGCCACAAGCAGTCGCCCGCGGAGAAACGACGGACATGTGCTTCAAGAAATCCTAATTTAAGAAGCTGCGACAGAGTCACCAGAACTGATGATAAAAAGCCCAGAATAAGAACCCGACGAGGGACGGAAGGGTGCCAGTAGGACGGCTAGACGATCTTGGTCGCCATAACTAAAGAAAGAAATGGACGTTGGGGCACGAGGAGCTGTAATGTGAGTGGGAGTGTGGGGATAGCGCTTGGAGACTCTCAGATGGCTCCCTGATGGTGCTGGAAAGAATACTGGACCGGGTTACCCGATAAGGAGTACAGCTCCCCCCGCAAGCGAAAGATAAGCGATATCTCGTGCATGCTCGCCAGACTTCGTACGGTCCAGTCGAGGGAGGCTGCGACTTCTCCAGGCTGGGTGGGCAAACCATGTTTCGAGGTGTGATGATCTCCCCTTGAGCCAAACTTGACCAATTGGATTCTTGGCCCCCACAGATTGCGGGTTCCCAAATCCACCCCGACTGAAGATTTCTGCACCGTCGCTGGCGATGATCTTCCCTCCCTGCCCTACTCGCTAAGCGTCGCACCTTTACAAATTGCAAACAGATACAAGACAGTTTTCTGTCACATAACTTGGATTTTATAACTTCACATCCTAAATTCCATAGATCTGTTTCATCTGGTACCTCTCTGGTTCCTCTCGTTTCTCCTCGTGCTGCCATTGGGATCTTCGGTACCGCCAGATCGGTACGAGTCTCACTGTCTACACAGCAGATGGTCAGCTGCCTGTCAGCTGCCTGCCATCTGCGTCGCCACTTTCGCATCGTAAACCCGTAAATAAATGATAGCCTGCCTCCTTCTTCCCTCACTATTCCTCGCTTTGTCTTCGTGCAATTGCGCGGTTGGGTTGTTGAGCCGCGGCACACTTGCTGCTAGTTACAGCTGGGTTTCGTGCTTTCATCTTGTCAAATCAGGGCCAGGTTTCACCAATTTGTCGATCCCCTTTCGTGCGTCGTACTTAGACTCTCTCGTCGGGGAAGCGTGCGTTTTAACAAGGAAAGTTCTCTAAGGCGAGGCTTGGAAGCGGTCCGCCATGGCGCAAGAGGAGGAGATGAGTGCGTTGTTTCCGGTGTTCGCGTTATCGATCGTCGCGTTACTGGCTATACCGTGGACGCTGTATCGGCTGATTGGTTTCTTCTCCTCTAAGCAACAGACGCTGCACTGCCCCTGCTCGCTCTGCGACCGCGACCCCAAGAATCGCCCCACCGTCTGGGCTCGCGTGAGTTATGCGAAGGAATGCGATCCCGTGCGACGCTGTGCGACGTGACGCGATCCCATGCGTCGCGAAGCGATCAGATGCATCACGATGCATTTCTATGTGACGTAGTTAGACGCGCGGTGTGTGTTATGGTGACCAGTCGCCCTGCCTTCTCCGAACGTCTTCTCCGAACCTATATTCAAGCACAGAAAATCTCATCTCATTCCGTCGGAAGATGAAATCACTGCCATGACAGACCAGCTGATTCCCTCACATCCCCCTCTCGTTTCTCCCCCATGGCTCCCATTGATTCAGGTATCCAAGTTCCTGTCGGTTCAGAACGTGACTCTCATCCTCATGTGGGTCGCCATGGTCGCCCTCCTCTACTACATCAAAGTGCTCAATCGCGATGTACGTTACACACACTAGGTGTGCTTATATTGAGTTGGTATATCGCATTGTAATGTCGGTTGCCATGGTCGCCATCCCGTCTCTACTACATCAAAGTGCTCAATCAGCGATGAACGTAAAGGCTTGCTATATCAATGTGGTATACAGCAGGAGTGCTGGCGGCCGGCAGGTGTGCTGGCGGATGCAGACTTGGTGTGACATGGTGTGGCATGGTGTGGCATGGTGTGGCATGGTGTGGCATGGTGTGGCATGGTGTGGCATGGTGTGGCATGGTGTGGCATGGTGTGGCATGGTGTGGCATGGTGTGGCATGGTGTGGCATGGTGTGGCATGGTGTGGCATGGTGTGGCATGGTGTGTCCCTGTCTCGGCATGCAGGCACAGCCCTTCGAGCCGTTTTCTATTCTGGGGCTCAGCCCAGGAGCATCGGATGCAGACATTAAGAAGGCCTACCGCAAGCTATCCCTGCAGTACCACCCTGACAAGAACCCCGACCCAGGTACATCCCTCGTTCCAGCTGACACTGCCTTTTGAGTTGACTTGTCAGTTGGCACGACGCGACTTCTATCCGTGCAGCAATACCTCCCCGACCCAGGTGATCCCTTATGTTTCACGGCTCTCCATCCGCCCCTTCTTCGCTTATTGGTTGTGTCCCCATCAGCCGACAACCAGTTCTTTGAGGACCTTATCTCCAAAGCATACCAAGCGCTTACAGAAAAGGAGCGCAGGTGGCTGGAAGTAGTTTGACTCTCACACACACCATCCCTCTTCTTGTTTCCGTACATGCCTCCCAGTTCCCACCCACATGCCTCCCAGTTCCCACATGCCTCCCAGTTCCCACATGCCTCCCAGTTCCCACATGCCTCCCAGTTCCCACATGCCTCCCAGTTCCCACATGCCTCCCAGTTCCCACATGCCTCCCAGTTCCTACATGCCTCCCAGTTCCTACATGCCCCTCCCAGCCGCCAACCAGTTCTTTGTGCTCTACATGTCAAAGGCGTACCGGGAGAGGCGGACGAGGAGGCTAGGAGTAGCTGTCAAATCACCACTCTCCTCCGGCTCTCCTGCCCTTGCCTCTTCCCCCCCCCCACACCAGCCGCCAACCAGTTCTTCGTGGACTACATCTCCAAGGCGTACCAGGCGCTCACGGACGAGGTGGCGAAGGCCAACTGGGAGAAGTACGGCCACCCGGACGGGCAGCAGGCGATGAACGTGGGGATCGCGCTGCCCAAGTTCATGCTGGACATCCAAGGACCCAAGGTATTACGGGGTTGACGTGGCGTGGGGTACTAGAGGTACCGTGGTGACTAGTAGGCAGCTGCCAGCAGGCGATGAACGTGGGAATCGCGCTGCCCAAGTTCATGCTGGACATCCAACGGCCCAAGTTATGAAAGCGTGAGATTTTGGAAACGCAGGGATGCTTGCGGGACTCTCAGCTCAGCAGGTAGGCGTGATATGCTGGAGCGATGGAGGGGTGAATGAATGGGAGGCAGCAGGCGATGAACGTGGGGATCGCACTGCCCAAGTTTATGCATCTGCCCACGTGAGTGAATGGATGTCCTGCCCAAGTTTATAGTGCAAATTTCCAAGACATCCAAGGGCCCAAGTTATGGATCCCTTTTTTTTTTGTACGATTCCTTATAGTGCAAATTTCCCTGTCCAAAAAAAAAACCGCCCAAGTTCATGCTGGACAGGACATCCAAGGGCCCAAGTTATGGATCCCTTGAGATGTAGGGAACGGAGGGATGCATGTGGGGCTGATGATTCATACGGCGTCCACATGGGTGCTGGAGGGATGGATAGACGGAGAGATGAACTGGCAGCAGGCGAGGCGAGGCACGTGGGGATTGCGCTGCTGCCCAAACTCATGAGAGCAGAGCGGTTGTATTTTGAGTCGACTCAAAATACTGCTGCCCAAATTCATGAGAGTAGAGCGTTTTCCAGGTGGGTGTGGGATGCTTGAGGGTTGGAGGGATGAATCCAGGGCCTCCCCAATCCCCCCCCCCTTCATTTTCCCTGTTCCCCTCCCCCCCCCACCCTTCATTTTCCCTGTTCCCCTCGCATTCTCTCCCGCTCCCCTGCTCCCGACCATTCGTCTTGCAGGGCGCGTATCTCCTCCTGGGTCTAGTCGGAGTGGGCATCCTGCTGCCGCTCATCGTCGTTGTCATCTACCTGTCGCGCTCGTCCAAGTACACGGGCAACAACGTCATTCAAGACACTCTGAGGAACTTCTACCAACTCATCAAGCCGTCTCTCGCTCCCAGGTCAGTCGACTTTGAAGTTTGAGCGCGGTTGAGCTAGTTCACATGACGGACTTGTCATCATCCTTGTCGTCGAGATGCCATTTTGAGGCGTGTTTTGAACCTCCTGGTCCGAGGGAGGTTAAGGTGAGTGAGAGCACACACATTACAGTCATACCTCCATCACTATTGCTGTTGATATGAGCGAGTGCTGGTCGGACGTCCGCAGCAAAGTGATAGGCATGCTGACCTAGGGATCAACAGCAATGGAGGGCAGGTATTCCCAGGCAGTAGAGATGAAGGCTCGATGGATGGGTGGCCTTTATCTCCACTGCTCGATGCGGATCCCATGCAGCCGGTGTTCCCTCTCACGCTGCCACCCTTGCTCTGTCCCTTCCCCCAGCTCTTGGCAATTCACAGCAAACTGGTAGACGTGCTCGCAGCTCACCAGAGCAATGGAATCCCTGGAGATGTTTTTTGAGTCGACTAAAAAATCCCTGGAGATGAAAGTCCGTGAGACGACGTGGAGCACCCTCGTCACCAGGAGCCCATGCAGTGCGCACAGCACCATCGTCTCACAGCCCATGCTTTCTCTCGCTTGCTTGCCCTGCCCACCCCCCATGCCCCCGATGATGTCCCCCCACCCCCGCCCTCCCTCCCCGCCTCCTTGCCGTTTCCCTGCAAGGTGATAGACGCGCTGACCAAAGCCATGGAGTTTCTGGAGATGGAAGGTGCATGGGTCGGATGTGGACCCCATGCAGCCTACAGAGCAAACCCTGTCCTCCCCCCCCGCGCCCCCCCCGGCGCCCTCCATTGTCTCCCCAGCATACATCCCACAGCAAAGTAATTCACGTGCGAAATGACTTTTGAGTCGACTCAGAATACATCCCACAGCAAAGTCATTGGCGTGCTGACCAATGCCATGGAGTTTCTGGAGGTGAAGGTTGGTGGGTCGGACGTGGAGCCCATGCAGCGCGTGTTCTCCCTCGTGCGCTCTGAGCTCAACCTACTATGCAAACCCTGCTCTCTCCTCCCCTTCCCCTCAACCCCTCTCCCCCACCACCCCCCCCGCCACCCTTCTCTCCCCTCCCCTCCTCCTCGTCTCCCCATCATGCATCCCACAGCAAGGTGATCGACGTGCTCACTAAAGCCATGGAGTTTCTCGAGATGAAGGTGCGCGGGTCGGACGTGGAGCCCATGCAGCCTACAGTGCAAACCCTGTCCCCCCCCCCACATTATCTCCCCATCGTGCATCCCACAGCAAGGTGATCGACGTGCTCACCAAAGCCATGGAGTTCCTGGAGATGAAGGTGCGCGGGTCGGACGTGGAGCCCATGCAGCGCGTGTTCTCGCTCGTGCGCTCCGAGCTCAACCTGGACCCCAAGAACCTCAAGCAGGAGACCAAGAAGTTCTGGACGCGCTACCCCGCGCTGATCAAGGTGAGATTCCCTGCTCTAGTTGCCTGCACTCCAGCCCTCCCACCTCACCCTCAACCTGGACCCCAAAAACCTCAAGCAGGAGACCAAGAAGTTCTGGACGCGCTACCCCGCGCTCATCAAGGTGAGGTTCTCTCTGCTGGTAAAGATGAGATTCCGTACGCTGATGAAGGTGGACCGTGGAATTCCCTGCTCCTGCTGCCTCCCATCAACCCCACACTCTATCAACCAACCCTTCCTCCAGGTGTGGCTGCTGCTCCTAGGACAGTTGACAATGCAGTCAGACTCAGTGCCAGGCTGCCAGCAGTTGTGGATGTTTAAGGTGCCCCAAACCTCCCCTCCCCATACCTCCCCTCTCCTCCGGTCTTCCCCCTCCTGGCTCTCTGCAGGTGGAGCAGCTGCTGCCAGCGCAGCTCACACGCCAAGCAGACTCAGTGCCAGCAGAGCCGCTGTCTCCCCTGCCACTGCTGCCTTCCCTAACCCGAAACCCCAACCCTCGACCCGAACCCCTCTTGCAGGTGGAGTTGCTGCTGCTGGCGCAGCTGACTCGGCAGGCGGACTCTGTGCCAGCAGAGCTGCGAAAGGACTTCAACACCATTCTCAAGCTCACTCCCCGGCTCATGGAAGAGCTTATTAAGGTGTGCTGTGCGCTTGTTCTATGGGTGGGTTGGGACTGCATCACACGTTCGTTGGTAGCACACCGGCTAGCAAGACTTCAACACCATTCTCAAGCTCACTCCCCGGCTCATGGAAGAGCTTATTAAGGTGTGCTGTGCGCTTGTTCTACGGGTGGGATGGGACTGCATCACACGTTCGTTGGTAGCACACCGGCTAGCAAGACTTCAACATCATTCTCAAGCTCACTCCCCGGCTCATGGAGGATGCAAGCAAGACGTTAACACCCCCACCTCTTACCCAATCCTCCCCCCCACCCCTTCTCTCGCTCTTGCCCAGATCTCTCTCTTCCTCCGCCCCCCTATCGGCCATGCGTGGCTGCGCCCAGCAGTGGGGGCGATCGAGCTGTCCCAGAGCTTCTACCAGGCGGTACCCCTGTCGGGACCAACTTCCCTCCCTCTCTTTCGCTCCGCCTTTCCGCCCACTCCTTCTGGCACCCTTGGGCAGGCAGATCTCTCTCTTCCCTCGTTTCCCCCATCCACCACGCATGGCTACGCCCAGCCCTGGGGGCAACGAGCTGTCCCAGAGCTTCTACCAGGCCGCTCCGCCGCCTGCTCTCAATCCCCTCCTCCCCTGCTACCTCCGGCGCTCTCCCACTCCTGCTTTTGAGGCGCCTCAGAAACATCCTACCAGGCCGTGTCGCTGCCTGCTCTCAATCCCCTCCTCCCCTGCTACCTCCTGCGCTCTCCCACTCCCTCCCTCTACTTCCCACCCAGATCTCTCTCTTCCCTCGTCCCCCCATCGGGCACGCATGGTTGCGCCCAGCAGTGGGGGCGGTCGAGCTGTCCCAGAGCTTCTACCAGGCGGTGCCGCTGTCGGCGCGCAAGCAGATGGACAAGGGCGGGAGTGCGGAGGGCAACGCGGCGCTGCTGCAGCTGCCGCACATCGATGAGGGCGTGGTGAAGAAACTGAATAGGAAGGTGAGTGGTGGTGTGGGTTGGTAAGGTGTTTTGGAGGGTAATCAGTCCATAGGGAGTGCGGAGGGCAACGCGGCGCTGCTGCAGCTGCCGCACATCGATGAGGGCGTGGTGAAGAGACTCAACAGGAAGGTTAGTGAGAGAACGAAAAGGTGAGAAAGAGTGGGAAGGTGGGAGTTTACAATAGCAAATGACATGGTGACTTAATAGGAAGGAGAGCAGAGTGGGCAGGTGAGAGTGTGCTTGGTTTCGGAGTATCTCAAGAGTTGCTTGTCGTATCGTGAGAAAAAATAGTCGACTCAAGAGTGATGGGTTTTTTTTTTTTAGTCAACTCAGAAATAGGCTCATTATAAACGGAGTATCTTAAGGGCCGCTTGTTGTGTCAGTAGAATATCCAGAATGAGTAAGTGGTGCTGCAATGCCCAAGACCCTTGGATTAGTCTCCCCAATCAACAAAAGCTCAAGACCCTCCCCCCAGGGGCTTAGCGACTTGACCGAGGAGGCTACCTGCTCACCTCTGTCGGTGGTCTATCACCCCTTGATGCTAGTGACGTGCAGGCCACTCTGGGAACCATGCCCGAGATGGTCGTGGACGCAACCTGCATCACCCACTCTCTTGTCTCTGCCCCTCCCCCTGTCGCCCTGTCAACAGAAGCTCAAGCCTCTCCAGGAGCCTAGGGATTTGACCTAGGAGGCTCGTGTGGTCCTGCTCACCTCTGTCGGTGGCCTCTCTCCTCTGGAAGCCAGTGACGTGGAGGCTACTCTTGCCACAACGCCCGAGGTAGACGTGGACACGGCCTGCATCACACACTCTCTTCTCTCTCGTGCTATTCCCAACCAATAGAAGCTCAAGACCCTCCATGAGCTGAAGGACTTGACAGAGGAGGCTCGTCTTGATCGGCTCACCACAGTGGGTGACCTCTCTCCGTCAGAAGCCAGCGATGTGGAGGCAACCCTCGCCACCATGCCCGAGATAGACGTGGACGCGGCCTGCATCACGCAGGGTGTGGACGACGGCAGTCAGGAGGGGGACTCCCGCACCGCTATTGACCCTTGTTCCTGCTTCGCTTCCCTTGTGTTCCCTGTCAACAGAAGCTCAAGACCCTCCACGAGCTCAGGGACTTGACGGAAGAGGCTCGTCTCGACCTCCTCACCACAGTGGGGGGCCTTAGTCCGCTTGAAGCAAGTGACGTGGAAGCAACTCTTTCCACGATGCCCGAGATAGACGTGGACGCGGCGTGCATCACGCAGGGCTCGGACGACGGCATCCAGGAGGGCGACGTGGTTACCCTCCGCATCTGGCTCTCCATGCGGCGCCACAACGGCCGCGTGGTCGCGCACCCCCACATGCCGCACTTCCCCTACCGCAAGGACGAGGCCTTCTGGCTCTTCCTGGCGGACCAAGCCGGCAACGCCGTCTGGATCTCCCAGCGGATCACCTTTCTGGATGAAACGGCCGCGATTCGGGCTGCGGCGGATTATACGAGGGAGACGGCGGAGGCGGAGGGGTTTGACGATGGGGAGGTGGCCCGGGAGGTCAAGGAGGCGGTTGCGCGGGTGAAGGGGGGAGGTCGGCTGGTGATTGGCAAGTTCCAGGCACCGGCTGAGGGCGTTTATGCCCTGACTGTGATGGTGATGAGTGACGTGTGGATCGGATGCGATAAGAAGGTCCCTCTCAAGATCAAGGTATGCATGGGGTGGCGGGGGTTGTGCTTGGCAAGAGGTATCTTGCTGTTGTTCTGCCTTCCTTTCTCCCTTCCAGGTGGGCAAGAGATCAAGGGCCGGAACAAGGGGGGCAGTGGAGCCCTCAGAGGGGCTCGCATAGAGCGAAAAAGGGGCCTAATACATTCCTAATTCTCCCCCGTACCACTTCCTTTCTGTGCTTCAGGTGGCCAAGAGAACAAGGGCCGGCACAAGGGGGGCAGTGGTGCCCTCGGAGGGGCTCGGGGATAGTGACGAGGAGGGAGAGGAGAGGGAGGAGGGAGAAGGGGAGGAGGAGGAGGGGTATGATGAGGATGATGATTACATGAGTGAGTATAGTGAGGACGAGGAGGAAGAGGGGGAGGGGGAGGGGAAGAAGGGAGGGGAGAGAGAGGGTGAGGAGGGTGGTGACAAAACGGAGGGTTCGGATGGCAGTGAAGAGAAGGACGAATCTGAGCCATTGATAAACGGCAAGAAGAAATAACATGGCGGTAGCAAATCTAGCTCAATCCGAACCCTCCGTTTTGCCACTGTTAATGGCAGCATCTCGCCTTCAATCACTTGTACCCTTTAAAACTTCCTGTGGGCTTGTTCAGTACACCCCTGATCCTGTGTAAACCATTCAAAATGCGTATACTTACAAACAATATCAGGGCACAGAATCAGCCGTTGCTTCGCTCACAAAAAGAGTGGGTGCATGCAGAGCCATCTGTGAGGAGTCTATTTTTTAGGCGCCTCAAACAGAGACTCCTCTTGCTTCGCTCACAAAAAGAGTAGGTGACTGCAGAGCCATCTGTCATCTCTGTCCACTAGATCTGACCTTCGCCGATTTTTTAGGCCCCTACGAATCCACTAGCTCCGCCATTCACTGCAATTTATTGCACATCTTGTAACAATGTACGATGATGCTATTTGCGCTTCCGCTTGCCCTTGCCTCTCTTGCTCGCCTGCCCAGAGTCCTGTGGAGGGGCGGATATGGTGCAGAGAGGAGCATTGCGGTGGTTGTTGTTACCAAACTATGGTAGTTACAATAACGGGAGTGACAACAACGGGAGTGACAATAAGGGGACACACATTAGAAGGCAGCAAGGGAAAGCATGGCTCTGCTGTGAGTCCAGAGTGAAGGGAGGAAGGAGGGACGAAGTGTGGATGTTTCTGTAGCTGGTTGCAATGCAATGGCAGGTTGTAGCACGATGGCAGGTTGTAGCACGATGGCAGGTTGTAGCACGATGGCAGGTTGTAGCATGGTGGCCGGTTGTAGCAATAGTCATCTACCTGAGGCTCCAAGTTACAACAACCTACCCTTAGGTGTTGGCGGTAGGCAATGCGGCCGTGAAGGGTCTTCCCTGCTGCTGTCACGTACACCTGCAGGGAGGGAAGGGAGGGAAGGGAGGGGTGGCAGGGACGGCAGGGACAAAGGAGGCGCTTCCAAATGGATGCAGGGGAAGGTCGCACGTTGTGGCACACACCTCACAGGGCCGTGGAGGGTCTTCTCTGCTGCTGTCACGTACACCTGCAGGGAGGGATGGCAGGGAAGGGAGGGATGGCAGGGATGGCAGGGATAAAGGAGGTGCTGCAATATGGACGCAGCGGAGGGTCGCACGTTGAGGCACACACCTCACAGTGCCATGACGGGTCTTCCCTGCTGCTGTCACGTACACCTGCAGGGAGGGAATTGAGGGAAGGGAGGGAAGGGAGGGAAGGGAGGGAAGGGAGGGAAGGGAGGGAAGGGAGGGAAGGGAGGGAAGGGAGGGAAGGGAGGGAAGGGAGGGAAGGGAGGGAAGGGAGGGAAGGGAGGGATGGGAGGGATGGCAGGGAAGGGAGGGGTGCACGGGGGAGGTTATTTGTGGTGCCATATGCAGCATGCTACAGCAGAACACCAAGCTGCAAAATACCGCACAGCCCATCACCAAACCGCACACCACCAAAAGCAACCGCACAGCACAGCACAGCAGAGCAAACAGCCACTGGCAACACCTCACCTTCTTTCCGCCCTCCGACACCCAATGACCACCACTCCCACTAGCAGCACCACCAGTAGCAGCACCACTCCCAGCACCACCACCATTACGACCGCTTCTAGCAGCAGCACTGCCACCACCACCACCACCACCACCGTTTCCTCTCCTCCTTCCCCCAGCCCCTTGCTGCCATCCAGAGTTCCCCCCTCGCATGCCCACCCCATCCCCAACACCTCCCACGCCAAACGGCTGGCATGCCTGCTGCTGCTGCCCAAACGCATCTGCAGCCCACCGAGCCTCAGCCTCGGGAGGGTCGCACCTGCCGCCCCTCTCTCCTTCACCTGCTGGCCAAGCCGGGCGGCCTGCTCTGTCCGCATCTGCAAGGGAGGGTCCGAACTGGCCCTTGTAGTCGATGAACACGGGCTCGCCATTGGCGTCCCCATGCTCCTCCAGCCACCCCACCAGCTGCAGGTGCGGCAGGCGCCGCCGCAGCAGCTGCCGCATGGCGTCAGACAACGGCGTTGAGTTTCGATGTGGTGGGTTTAGAGGAGGTGGGTTAAAGGGCGGCTGCCGCACGGGGTCTGGGAAAAGAGGTGTGTTTCGAGGGGTTGAAGCGGGGTGGTTAAAATCAGACGAGCTTTGAGCAGTAAAGCCTGCTCCGCCTTTGCCCCTGTGTTCTATTCCAGCCTCAGCCCCTCCACCTGCTGCCTGCGAGCCTTGAAGCGCCTCACAAATGCCTGGAAAACAGCCCTCCTTTCCATCCCAAAACAGCCTTCGCCGCAACCCATCCCCCTCTTCACACAACTGCCTTCTCTCCCCTCTCTCCCCTCTCTCCCATCTCTCCTCTCCCTCCTCTCGTTCCTCCATCTCCTCCCCTCCTCCCTCTCGCTCATCAGGCAGAGACGCTTCAATGTCATCAATCTCATCATCGCTTACAAAGCACGCCTCTGGTAGTCGAGGCATGGGGCAGGACGCTGGACGCAGAGCAGATGCCAGGCTGGGGGTACGCCCTAGATGGCCCTCTGATAACCGCATAGCCGGAGTGGTGGCCACTGGTGCTGCTGGCTTTGGTGGTGGGGGGTTAGCTGCTGCTGGCTTTGGTGGTGGGGGGTTAGCTGCTGCTGGCTTTGGTGGTGGGGGGTTAGCTGCTGCTGGCTTCGGTGGTGGGGGGTTAGCTGCTGCTGGCTTCGGTGGTGGGGGGTTAGCTGCTGCTGGCTTCGGTGGTGGGGGGTTAGCTGCTGCTGGCTTCGGTGCTCCTTGCCTGGGCGAGGGGGTGACTGCAGCTAGAGCTGGAGCGGACGGAGATATGAACACAGCGGAAGGCGAGGCACAGTTAAAGCCCACGCCTGCCTCAGTGTCCTGCCCAATTCTCTCCCCCTTTCTCTCCTCCTTGCTCTCCTCTGCCCTCCCCTTTACCTCCACCATTTTCCGCAGCCTTTTGAACCTCCTCCCACCGTCTCTGCTTTCTATTGTAGCAGCAGCACCAGCACCATCTGCATCCCCCCCAAACAACCTCTCGCTGACTGCCACTTGCTCCTCCCCATCCCCCGTTGCTAAACCCTCCCCAACCCCCCATGCTGTCTCCTCCCCATCCCCCGTTGTCAACCCCTTCCTATCCCCCCACAGTGTCTCCTCCCCGTCCCAGCCATCCAGCCCCAGGGAGAAGCTGGGCGCATCCAGACCTTGCGACGGCAGAAAGTCAGCCTCAGGCTCGGCCTCAGGCACAGCTTGGAGCTCCGAGGCTGGGAGCTCCGAGGCTGGGAGCTCTGAGGCTGGGATCTCCGAGGCTGGGAGCTCTGAGGCTGGGAGCTCCGAGGCTGGGATCTCCGAGGCTGGGAGCTCCGAGGCTGGGAGCTCCGAGGCTGGGAGCTCCCAGGCTGGGACGTGGAGAGAAAAGGAAGGCGGCTCAAACTCGCCCATCCCGAGCCCTCCATCTGCACCTTCCTCATCGTCCCCTCCGCACCTCGCATCTCCCTCTCCTCCTCTCACCTCCTCTTCGCTTCCTCCCCTTGCGTCCACTCCTCTCCCCTCTGCAGCTGCCTGCAGCACCGGGTCCTTGCCATATTTGTGTGGTACCTTCTCATCTGCGCCATCTTCTCCCCCCCCTCCCCCATTCCCCCTGGCTCCCCGTTCTTTCTCTCCTCTCTCCTCCGTATGCCCCCCTCCTCCTCCACCCCTCCCTCTGTTCCTTGCTGCTCCTCTACCCTAGTCCTGTGTTGCCCGCATCGTTCCGCCTCTTGTGAGTCCGGAACATTCTCAGGCGCAAGGTCAGTTGCCAAGTAATCCTCCTTCCCTTGTGGCCCCCTCCATCCCCCCCTTCTTCCGTCCTCTTGGGAGTATGAAACAGAATCAGTCACATGCCCAGTCGCCAAATCAGCTACAGAGTCAGTCGCATGCTCAACTGCAGAGTCAACCGGATTACTAGTCACAAGGTCCGTTGCACCCTCTACATGCTCATCCGCCCTACGCATCCTACCGAAAATCCTAGCCTTGTCTTCCCCTTTCTCCAGTCTTCTGCCTTCCTCCTCCTCCTCCTCTGCCTCCTTCCCTTCACGTCCCTCCACCTTCTCCCGCCTCTGCCCCTCCTGCCCTTCCTCCTCTCCATCTCCCCTTCGCTCGTCACTAACCACAAAAACCATACTCACTTCATTTAAGCGGAGGCCACCCGCTCCTCCTCCTGCTCCCTCGCCCGCTCCTTCAATATCCCCCCCAGAATTCTCGCCCTCCCCCCCCCCACTCCTCTTGATCCGTCGTCTCCCAACCAAGCTTGCATGTGGCAAGTCCCTCTCGCCCATCTCTCCTTCCCTTCTGCTATCCACGTCGCCCCCTGCAGACTGCCCAATCAGGGACTGCCACGTGGCCTCGTCCTCAGGCTGAGTCACCATGGAATCATCACTGTCATCCCTGTCATTGCCCCCATCCATCCCTCCGGTTCGTTCCGCCCTTCCCGCTCCCTCCTTCCCACCCAACCCCTCCTCCCCTCCCGGCGCCTCCTTCCCTTCAATCCCTTCCAGTCCTCCCATCCTACCCCTTCTCTGCTCTTCCTTCTCCTCCTCCTCCTTCTCCCCCTCCTCCTCGTCCTCCTCCTCATCTCTCCCCACCAGCACACGCCTCCGCTTACTCCTCCCCGTCCTCTCTCCCAGCTTCTGCCTCCTTCGCCCCCCAAGCCTGCTCCTCTCCTGTTCTTCCTCCTCTTCCTCCTCTTCCTCCTCCTCATCCAGCCAATCAGCATCCCCCTCCTTCCTCGCATCGTCCGTTCTATCGTCATCCACCAGCCAATCAGCGCTGTCTAATTTCTTCCCATGCTTGCCAGATACACCATCACCCCTCTTGTCAACACAATCATTCTCATCATCGTCCGACCAATCAGCAATGGTCTTTATCCTCCTCCGCCTCACCACAGCCGGTATCCCGCACCGCCACGCAGTGGGATGAAACGCCAGGCCACTCCCTAGCCCCACTCTACTGCCACTACCCATCGCCGTCACATCAAGCCCTCTCGCACCCCCAACGTCCTCACTCCCAGTGACACTCCTCCACGCCCTCTCATTCAAACTGCCCCCCTCTTCTCCCGTCGCTCCCCAACCACTCCCCGCACCCCCTCTCTCTCCAACACCCCCTCTCTCTCCAACACCCCCTCTCTCTCCAACACCCCCTCTCTCTCCAACACCCCCTCTCTCTCCAACACCCCCTCTCTCTCCAACACCCCCTCTCTCTCCAACACCCCCTCTCTCTCCTGCACACCCTCCTCCTGCTCCTCTGCAGCCTCCCCCACTTGCTCCACCTCCCCCTCCCCCTCCCCCTCCCCCTCCCCCTCCCCCTCCTCCACGTGTCTCTGCCACTGGCTCTGCTTGTCCTTTCCGCTGCCAGCTCGACGAAATCCGCTGCTGTACAGATAACGACAAACGAGGCCTGTGGGGTCCCATTGACGGCCTCGCTTTCGGTGGGTCCTGCTGACGTGGCGGCTCAGTCACTTTGGCCACGTCATCCTGACTCTGCACCAGATCAAGCTCAATCACCTCGGTCGCACCTCCTAAAGTCACACCTCTTAAAGTCACACCTCTTAAAGTCATTCCTCCTGCTGCAATTCCACCCACTGCTCCCTCATCAGTCACGTCTCGTATAGTCACAAATTCTTTAGTAGCACAACCGTGGCTAGTTTTTACTGACGACGGCACTGCTGCTGTTGCACCACTCACTCGGCGCGCTTCAGATCTGAACTGAACGGACGGCTGAGATGGTGACGTCTGCGACGGACTGAGAGAGGCCTGCTGCGAAGAGGTTATCGGTTCCTGCGACAGGTATCGCGACAGCGATGCCTGGACCTTGCGACGCGATTGGCTAAGCGGAAGAGGCCGGGTGGTGCTTCTGGGCTTGCCACGTGGCGGCATGGTTGTGGCAGCGCTCGCAAGAACGCTGACGCAGACGAAACAGGGCGGCGAAAAAGGGTTCGCGAAATAGGGTATGGCGAATAAAGCGTATCGTAAATCAAGTAGCGGCAAGGCAAAAGACTCTACTCACACGAGGCCGAACGAACAGCCACCACTGAAACCCTAATATCCCCCACTTCAAGAACACACCCTTTTTTCGCTTGCTTGGAACACCAATTATAGCAGCAGCGCAATCAGCGGAACGGACTGCGAAGACTAGTATTCGTCTCGCTGACTGGCAGTCACGAAACAACCGAAAACGGAAAACAGTGCGAGGCGTCAGGCTGACGACGACGAGCCGTTTTCAGGCGACAAGCTCGAGGAGGGTTGGGGGAGTCTCAAGAAATTCAAATATTCGAATTCGGGGTACACTTGTCACTGTAGAGTTTTTGCAGAGCTTGGCTCAGTATATATACAAGTTTATTTTCGCAAACAAGTTGCGACATTATTTCAGTAGTCCAGCGTCGGCATGCCATCGACAAAGCCGAGAGATGGCACTATCGAAATCCCACACCGCACCACACCTCTATCTTGACCGTGTAGAGCTCTTATGGTTTCTCCCTCCCCCCATCCTAGCATTGCTGCTTTACTCTGCTGCCGTGCACCTCATTCCGTGCTGCGTACGACTCGCTTTTCTGGTTCCCATCCCTCTAGGGCTCCTCAGTGCGCTTGTGTCTAGACTAGAGACATTGGGTACAGTTTATTGCCTCACCATTTGAGGTGTCTCAAGAGCTGTCTTTCAGACCGCCTCGCTAAATTTGATCTTGCATCCGCAGCGCCGAAATCTACGAGTGCTGATTGGCTCACATCGCCACCATCCCTACTGCCGCCGGATAGCCCCAGCGGCTCTCTCTTGCCCGGCTCGTAGCATCACCGACTGACCGCGTACTCACCTCGTCGGTCTGCCGGCTTCAGGTTGTCGGGCCGTCTAGGTTTAGACGCTTTCGCGGCACACGAATAGCCGGCATATCCGGTTCATTCCTCCGCCAGCCACGTGGCACTTCTAGTTGCCGTGGAGATCCCTCTGCCAATTCGCAGCGCTGCTGCTGCATAGGAGCCGTCGATCTTCGGAGTGCAACTCCATCTCCGGCGTCAGTAGCTTGAATTGACCGACAAGCCACGCCTGTGGCCGTTCGCTTTCTCCGAGTTGTTAGACTGCCGCTTTGCTATAGACGCTTGCAGAAAGTGCAGAGATCCTGAGGGTCGAGTTCTGAGACGGCTCAAACTGAGCTTGTAGGGATCCTTAGGGTAGGTCTTGCTGCAGAGCTTGGCACCCCTACCCTTCGAAGTCGCCTAAAAGTCGCGTCGAAACTCCCTGGTATTCGCGTGACTTCAACTTTCCATAGGCTTCCTTGGGAGGGGTGATTCCAAAGAGCACGGTGAAGAGAAAAGAAATAAAAACTTCCAGTATCGAGTTGCCGTATATCGGAGCAGCCTGCCAGGATGACCGTACGTGCCATTCCCTTCCGTTCTGTAATCACCCCTTTCACCGTTCCCCACCGTTCCCCACTGTTCCCCACTGTTCCCCGCTGTTCCCCACCGTTTCCCACCGTCCCCACCGTTCCCCGCTGTTCAACGCTGCCATTATCTGTCCCTCCGTACCCCTCCCTTCCCCGCATTTCTTCGTTCCCGCCTTTCTTCTTCACTTTTTGTTCTCCTTTCTTTGCCGTCGATTTCCATTCCCAAGATTCTCAATCAAACCAATCGCCCGTCCTTCCCCCTCTCGCTCCCCCCTCCCCCCCTCCGCTCACCCTCCCCCTCCCGGCTTCCGCGTACGGGCGCCTTTATTGCCACCGAAATTTGCAGCCGAGATTGAAGCTGTAGCATTTCCGAACGTCTCCTCCCAATGCTTTTTAATACAGCTAAAATCGGCATGAGAAGAAACGCCCCCTCATCTCTCCACTCGCACTCCCTCTCTGACCGCCTCCCTCCTCCTCCTCTTTTCCCGTTGCAAACACCCCCAGAGCCGGCTGAATCGGCAGCAAAAGGAGGCTGCCCAGCAGTTCGTGGCCTTTCCTGTTTCCCCCACCCGCATCGTATGGTGGTGTCTTATCCCCCCTGTCCTCAATCTTCCCCCCCTCCGTTCCCCAGAGCCGGCTGAATCGGCAGCAGAAGGAGGCGGTGCAGCAGTTCTTGGCCATCACAGGCACGAGGTGAGGAAGGCGGGAGGTGAGGAAGGCGGGATGTGAGGAAGGCGGGAGGTGAGGAAGGCGGGAGGTGAGGAGGGCGGGAGGTGAGGAGGGCGGGAGGTGAGGTGGGCGGGAGGTGAGGAGGGCGGGAGGTGAGGAAGGTGGGAGGTGAGGAAGGCGGGAGGTGAGGAGGGCGGGAGGTGAGGAGGACGGTAGGCGAGGAAGGCGGGAGGTAATGCTTCTAGTTCTGGCGCCTCATCCCATCACACAAACCAAAGCAAACGGCGCCAATCACTCCTCCACCCCGCCCCCCCTCCCCGAAGCAACAGCACCTATCAGTTTGGCCCAAAGCAAACGGCGCCAATGACTAACACCCCTCTCCCCCTCCCCCAACCCATCTCTACGAGTGCCTGCCCGTTGTGTTCCTTCCTGCTTCCCGTCCCCCTGTCATCACTCTCTCACAACCCTCCTTCAGTTCCCCTCCAGCAGTCAGAGGGACAGTGGCGGCGCTGCCAGCCACCGAGTGGAACAAGGAGCTGGCTTTCGACCTCATAACTCCTCTCTGCTGCCATATTACTCCTCTTCTCTATCCCCTTGTTGTAACCCCTCCAGCGACCGAGGGAGGGACAGTGGCAGCACTGCGAGCCAGCGAGTGGAGCAAGGAGCCGGCGTTCGACCTCTTCTACTCGTCTGTCTGACCTGCACCCATAAGCCTCTCGAGCACATGCCCTCCCCTCTTTCCCCCTCCCAGCGATCAAGGGGCAGTGGAGGGGCAGTGGAGGGGCAGTGGAGGGGCAGTGGCGGCGCTGAAGGCGAGCGACTGGAACATGGAGCTGGCGTTCGACCTCTTCTTCTCCTCATATATCCCCCCTTTCCCTTGAAACTACCTCGCTTACCATTCTCCCCCCTCCCAGCGACCGAGGGGCAGTGGCGGCGCTGAGAGCCAGTGACTGGAACATGGAGCTGGCGTTCGACCTCTTCTTCTCCTCATATATCCCCCCGTTCCCTTAAAACTCCCTCGCTTACCATTCTCCCCCCTCCCAGCGACCGAGGGGCAGTGGCGGCGCTGAGAGCCAGTGACTGGAACATGGAGCTGGCGTTCGACCTCTTCTTCTCCTCATATATCCCCCCGTTCCCTTAAAACTCCCTCGCTTACCATTCTCCCCCCTCCCAGCGACCGAGGGGCAGTGGCGGCGCTGAGAGCCAGTGACTGGAACATGGAGCTGGCGTTCGACCTCTTCTTCTCCTCATATATCCCCCCGTTCCCTTGAAACTCCCTCGCTTACCATTCTCCCCCCTCCCAGCGACCGAGGGGCAGTGGCGGCGCTGAAAGCCAGTGACTGGAACATGGAGCTGGCGTTCGACCTCTTCTACTCGTCCTCCACCTCGGGCCAGCAGCTGCGGGCCATGGGGCGCGCGGCTGCTCCCCGGGTGGACCCAAAGCAGCTGGAGCAGCTGTTTCTGAGATACAAAGGTAGGGTCCGTAGGGGTAAAACTGAAAGGAATGCTAAAGCGAGAGCGCTTGTAAAGTGTGGAGCGATTCCGACAGAGTAACGGTATTCGAGTAGCGTGCTAGGCACTGGTGGTATTTGGGCAGAGTTCGCCTTCAAGTACTTGGTCGAAATCGCTCCACACTTTAAAATCCGGAGATGCCCACGACGACCAGTCACTCTGAAGAGTCATGAGTAGTCGTGGCTATTGCAATGGATTTTCGTGAGGAGCAAGGCAGCGCTTGCCTTGCTGGTTGGAGTTGCGTACACGGCAAACCCAACCTTGCTGAGTTGGGTTGGAGAATGGGGCGAGGCGCGTTCGGGGTGGTTGGTTACACCCGCAGCGCCACGCAACTTTGGTTGGGTTTGCACTTGCCTATATATTTGCATGCTTGTTTGTACTTTGAACATATATATACTTTTCTAGTGAACTTCTACTCTACTCGAATTTCGACCAAGTACTTGAAGGCGAACTCTGCCCAAATAACACCAGCGCCTAGCACGCTATTCGAATACCGTTACTCTGTCAGAATAGCTCCACACTTAACAAGCGCTCTCGCTTTAGCATTCCTTTCAAAAGCAGGGTAGAGAGTATGGGGCGCCAGCAGCTGAGGGCCATGGGGCGCGCGGCTGCTCCCTGCCCGGGTGGTCCCAAAGCAGCTCGAGCAGCTGTTTCTGTGGACGGCGTTTCCAAGATGTGTGATGCTTGCTAGTCTCCAACGCGCCTCACACACCTCGTCTCTCCTCACCCCACCAAACCCCACCCCATGACACCGCACCCCACCCCCCTCCTCAGACCCGCACTCTGAGCTCATTCTTGTGGATGGCGTTTCCAAGATGTGTGAAGACCTCGAGGTGAGAGCATGCCTTGGGAACGCACTGCCGTTGCTTCGTTTCTTCGTTGTTGAACCTAGATTCGTTCACTCACCATCGGACCGTCGCCATGCCACTCCTTTTTCAATGTCACTTTCCTCTGATCCTCTCTCCTCCATCCTACCCAACCCGCCCCGATACCCCTTCCCCCCCACCCCACGTTCTCCCACCTTGTCGGTCCGTGGTCTCTCTTGGTGGGCTGGCAGGTGGAGCCTCAAGATATTGTCATGGTAGGTCATCCCTCATCCATAACCTGCCGTTAGGAGTCTAGTTTTGAGGCGCCTCAAAACAAGATATTGTTATGGTAGGTCATCCCCCATCCATGACCTGTCGTTGCCTTGGCTCCTTCTCCGCCCCGTGCTGCACCGTGCCATGCCATGCCATGTTGCACCATGCATGCCATGCCGTGCCATCCCATGCCATGCCATGCTGTGCCATCCCATGCCATGCCATGCCATGCCATGCCATCCCATGCCATGCCATGCCATGCCATCCCATGCCATGCCATGCCATGTTGCACCATGCATGCCATGCCGTGCCATCCCATGCCATGCCATCCCATGCCATGCCATCCTATGCCATGCCATGCCATGCCATCCCATGCCATCCCATGCCATCCCATGCCATGCCATGCCATGTTGCACCATGCATGCCATGCCGTGCCATCCCATGCCATGCCATGCCATGCCATGCTGCTACAGTGCTTCCCAGTGAGTCCACCAGTGCACTTGATTCACCAGCATGCCCTCGTCTCTCTCTCCCTCATACCCCTCTCACCCTCCCTCATACCCCTCTCACCCTCCCTCATACCCCTCTCTCCCTCCCTCATACCCCTCTCACCGGTCGATCATAAGCTGATTCTATCTTGGCACTTCAAGGCCGCCACCAAGTGCGAATATTTCAACAGAAGAGCTTGGTGCACTTGACCAACCCTTCCCCTCCCTCCATGCCCCTCCCAACCAACCACCCACCGTCAGCTGATTCTGTCATGGCACTTCAAGGCCGCCACCATGTGCGAAGAATGCTCCAACGGATGACCATGCCCTTGCTTCACAACCACTCTCCTCTCCTTTCCCCCTCCATGCCCCTCCCAACCAACCACCGTCAGCTGATTCTGTCGTGGCACTTCAAGGCCGCCACGATGTGCGAATACTCCAAGGACGAGTTCGTTCAAGGCATGCAACGAGTGGGGTAAGGAGTGCGAAAGGGAGAGGGGTTGGGAGAAGGAGTGAGAGAATGGGGATGAGGAATCCGATTTTGGGCTAAGGGAGCAGATTAACATCGACTGTGCCGTCTCCTCTGTTTTTGTGGTTGATGTCTTCTCTGCGTCCGGTTCACCTCCCACTGGCAGCATCGTGAGTGAGCTCAAGACGCGGCCTCCAGAACTGTGCTGCCTCTCCCTCGTGCCTGTCCCTCCTGTCGTTCTCATGTCTGTGTTCCCTCGTTGACCTTCCAAACCGACTGTGTTCCCTCGTTGACCTTCCAAACCGACTGTGTTCCCTCGTTGACCTTCCAAACCGACTGTGTTCCCTCGTTGACCTTCCATACCGACTGTGTTCCCTCGTTGACCTTCCAAACCGACTGTGTTCCCTCGTTGACCTTCCAAACCGACTGTGTTCCCTCGTTGACCTTCCAAACCGACTGTGTTCCCTCGTTGACCTTCCAAACCGACTGTGTTCCCTCGTTGACCTTCCAAACCGACTGTGTTCCCTCGTTGACCTTCCAAACCGACTGTGTTCCCTCGTTGACCTTCCAAACCGACTGTGTTCCCTCGTTGACCTTCCATACCGACTGTGTTCCCCCTCTGTTTGCCAACTCCCAGCGTGAGCAGCATGGGTGAGCTCAAGACGCTGTTACCTGCACAGATTTTTGCACCCTCTCCCTCCTGTCTCTCCCTCCGTCTTCGAACTCCCAGCGTGAGCAGCATGAGTGAGCTTAAGGCGCGGTTACCCGTGCTGCGATCAGAGATCAATGACGACCGTGAGTGGGAAGTGTTTGTGGGAGGAGAGGACGAAGGAGGGGGGGGGGAGAGGTGGGGGAAGCGAGGGAGAAAGGGGGCGCTATTGGTAGTTGGAAGAGATAGGCAAGAGGAGAGGGGGGAGAGGAGAGGGGGGAGAGGGGGAGAAAGAGGTGGGTTAAGACTGTGCATTGCGACTGTGCATCTTGTGTCATGTGCGGCTGTCGCATTTGCTTAAGCTCTTTATGGGCAATGGGCATGGCATGGTTGGGGCGTGGGTATGGGCGTGGGTATGGGCGTGGGTATGGGCGTGGTGGATGGGTTTTCTTGGTGATGGCCTTGCAGATAAATTCAGGGAGATTTACAACTTCTCCTTCGATTGGGCAAAGGAGAAGGTCAGTATTGGACGGTGATTGCTGAAAGAGCTGGAGAGGAGAAGGTCAGCAGAATCACTTGAATCTGGTCAATAGAATTACTTGAAACTGGTCAGTAGAATCACTCAGCTTAGTAGAACTACTCAGTCAGTGGAATGAATTGGATTCGATCGGTGGAATGATTTGGATTCGGTCATTACTGGCATTGAAACCCCACCGTTTTCTGCAGCATGGTATAGGCAGCATGGTATAGGCAGCATGGTATAGGCAGCATGGTATAGGCCGCCACAAATACGTCTTCTGGTACCATGCTGCTTCAACCTTAAAGCCCAACCGGCAGGTTGCAAGTCCTCTTTTCTCAAGATGCTGCACCTTGAGGCCCTCGTAACCGAGCAGCTGGCATCAAACTGCCAAATACTGGTCAGGTCAAAGGGTTGTTTGTGATCGAAACAGTCACGAGTTCTCGCCCTGCAAACTTGGCAGAGCTGGCGAGGTAGCTCTCCGCCAGATTGTGAGCTGCAAAACTGACAGCCCTCCTAAGTTTCCAGCCCCGCTAGCTTGCACGAAACAAACGCTGGCTCTGCGAAGCCCAGTATTCGCCAACTATTTCGTTTCCAGAATCCTTCCTTGTCCAATTAGGTTATGCTGTCCCACCTACCTAAACAGTACAAATATGCAACCTGCTGGGCGGGCTTTAACGCGAACGCCCATGTGTACTAGCACGTGATAGCAACGGACCTGAGGCTGGCACGCTACCTCAGGTGCTTCAGCCTCAGGTCCGCTGCTGCCACGTGCTGGTAGTAGTACACATGGGCGTCGCACTGGGATGGCGGGTGGCAGCTTCTGTTCATACCGGCTCCATTGTTCGCCCACTTGTCTCATCCGCCCCGTCCCGCCATGCACGAACAACCTCACAGGGCCAGAAGTTCGTGTCGGTTGATACAGCCATCGGCATGTGGCAGCTGCTGTTCACTGTTGCTTGCTCCCACATCCTCTCCCCTGACCCCTGGCCCCCGTCTCCTCATCGTGCCGTCATGCCCACAGGGCCAGAAGTCCCTGTCCTTTGAAACAGCCATCGGCATGTGGCAGCTGCTGTTCACGGCACGGCCATGGCGCTTCGTGGACCACTGGTGCGAATACCTACAGGTAAAGCTCTTGCTTGGGGCAGCATTTCCCCCAAACGGCATTTCTGTTCTTTTTTTCTCCCCGAATGCGATTCGAGTCGACTCTCTGGATTGTTTCTTTCACGTTTTTCCCATTCAAAGGATACCCTTGCTTCACACGCAACAACAGCCTGGGGACTCCAAGCCATCTCGAATCCCTCCCTTGCCCCCCTCCCTTCCTGTGCCCCATCGCCCGCCCTCGCAGGTGAAGCACAACAAGGCCATTTCTCGAGACACGTGGCAGCAGCTGCTGGAATTTACTAAGGTGAGCCGGCATACACCAAGGCCCCTCGTCCTCTTCTGCCCGCACCTCCTCTCATCCACCTGTGCTCCCATCCCCCATCCCCCATCCCCCATCCTCCCATCCCCCATCCCTCATCCTCCCATTCCCCATCACTCATCCTCCCGTCCCCCATCACTCATCCTCTCATGCATCATCCTCTCGTCCTCTCGTCCTCTCGTCCTTTCATTCCCCACCCCTCTTCCACCCACCCCACAGATCACCGGCCCGCCTCTCTCACCTTCTCTTACCACCCCGCAGATCACCGACCCCTCGCTGTCATGGTGCGGCGAGGAGGGCGCGTGGCCCTACCTGGTGCATGCTGTAGCTTGTCCGTTCATCCTCGCATCATCACATCATCCTTCCATCCACCCACTCTACAGATCACTGACCCCTCGCTCTCATCGTACGACGAGGAGGGCGCGTGGCCGTACCTGGTGGACGAGTTTGTCTCGCACCTGAGGGAGGCGGGAGTGGTGCCCAGCAAGCCCGATGCCGCATAGCTTCCAGATGCCCTTCACAGCTGCTCTCACCTCACCTCACCTCTCCTCTTAGTGCCCCTCTCACTGCCCATGACATCACAGTTCCTCACCACCCCTCTTTAGGATAAAAGCGGCGTGTTCGGCCCTATTTGTCCCTGCTGAAGATTCCTGTATGGGTTTTGAAAATAATGTCGACTTGATAAACCATTGACATGACACACCAAGGGCTTTGGTTGCATCCACAATTATTGTATCATACACAACCTTTTCTGTAGGCAATTCATACGCTGCAAGCGTTTTCAATGTACTCCGACGTCGGAACAACACGACGGTACATATTGATTTTCTGTTCGTCTGGACGAGATGAGATGCGGTGCGAGAAGCCCAGCAACGTTAAAATCCAACGCTGGCTACTTTGAACACGCTCCTAGTTTGCCTGTGGACAAATGTGACAGTGACAATTGTGGTGGAGGCAGGTGTCAACGTATACATATATTGTTATGTAGAAGTTATAGGCTACATAGGGGTATGTTCTTAGTGGGTACAACCCAAACGCTTTATCTCCCTTCTTCTATTCATTCTTTCTAGTCTTCACATGGTATCACAAGTAGGTAGGTCCACCCACCCCAGGGCCTCAGAAGTCAGGCCAAAAAGGCCTGAAAGCCTGTATATCAGGGTGTTTTCTAGGGCATACCATGATTTTTCAGGTTTTGATTTTTGTCAAACCTGAAATTTATGTGTTCCCATTTTCTAAGGCCTGAAAAATAGTATGTTCTTGTTTTACCGAGCCTGACGAACAGGGCTGACGTTTCAAAAAAAGGCAATCTGAGCCAACCCACCCAAAAAAAACAAGAGGCGACTAAATCGTCTTAGGGTTGCGCAGCTATCTTTGTCGGTTTGACAGATTGAATAATGTTATTTTGCATTTTACATCGAGATTATGACTATTATCATTTGATGTGATTATTTTACAATTTTGCATCAAGTCTTATTATATTTTACTAATATACATCCTTGTTTCTCAAATTTGTACATCTGATGTTTTAATAGCGCAACACATATTTTCTTCCAGATTTGATAGAGCCAGCTCGGAAATCGGGGGATGCAAAATACATACCGGAGAGCCGAACCCGAGACTTCCGAACGGGTAAACCCTTTGCACTACCCTAAGACATCGCTTAAACAGATTAGTAATTATTGTTTCTTTGTTTTTGCGACGAATCGGAATGCTCCTTAGGGTTTGTTCTTTTTCTCGCCTCGTCCCCAGCCTCGCTTCTCACGTTGAGGTTTCAGTCACGCCACCTCGCAACTAGTTTCCTACCCAAGGTAAGTCGTTCTATGTGTTCCCTTATCTATTTTTAAACTTGTTTTTCCGTCTCTTTTAGTAAGGGGTTTCCATCTCGTGTTTGGGGGGGGAAATAGCAACGGGATTGACGGGGGGAATGGCGACGGAATTGACGGGGGGATGGCGACGGGATTGACGGGGGGGATGGCGACGGGATTGACGGGGGGGATGGCAACGTGATTGACGGGTAGAATGGCGACGGGATTGACGGGGGAATGGCGACGGGATTGACGGGGGTAATGGCGACGGGATTGGCGACGGAATTGACGGGGGATTGGCGACGGGATTGGCGACGGAATTGACGGGGGATTGGCGACGGCGGCATTGACAGCAGGGGACGACGGGATTGATGAGGGGATAGGCGGGGACTCTCTCTCGCTCTTTCACTACCTCTTTTTCCACCTCTTTCTTGATCTCTCTCTCTCTCTCTCTCTCTCTCTCTCTCTCTCTCTCTCTCTCTCTCTCTCTCTATATATATATATATATACCTCATTTTCTACCTCTTTCTTGATCTCTGTTTCTCACTCACTCTCTTGCTCTCTCTCTCTCTCTCTCTCTCTCTCTCTCTCTCTCTCTCTCTCTCTCTCTCTCACTCTCTCTCTCTCTCTCTATCTCGCTTTCTCTCTCTCTCTCTCTCTCTCTCTCTCTCTCTCTCTCTATCTCTCTCTTTCTCTCTCTCTCTCTCTCTCTCTCTCTCCCCCTCTCTCTCTCTCTCTCTCTCTCTCTCTCTCTCTCTCTCTCTCTCTCTCTCTCTCTCTCTCTCTCTCTCTCTCTCTTCTCTCTCCCCTCTCTCTCTATCTCTATCTATCTCTCTCTCTCTCTCTCTCCCTATCTATCTATCGCTCTCTATCTCTCTCTCTCTCTCTCTCTCTCTCTCTCTCTCTCTCTCTCTCTCTCTCTCTCTCTCTCTCTCTCTCTCTCTCTCTCTCTCTCTCTAACGGTCCTTTATTGCTGGGAGATCCTGGGTACAGGGTAGGCCTATAAGGTGGGTACAGGCATGCATGGTGTTCGTGGACGGGCTCCTAGTCCCCGGCTATTCCCTTGGGTGCTCAATGACCGCGAAGCAGTCCCAAGGGACATGCCTGCCTCAGGGGCACCGAGGGGCAGCCCCTCAAGTGGCGAAGCTTCATTCACCTTCCCGAGGTAGGTGAGGGCTTGACCCCGCTGGAGGGTGACAGACCAGCGCTGGCGGAACTGGCTGAGCAGTTTAGCCGCCTGGTAGGAGCTGGGGTCGGCATTGAAAAGGCGGCGGGCGGCCGTGTGTGCGAGGAGTTTAAGGAAGGTTGGCACTTCGGTGCATGGGCAGCCATACGTCTCGACTGCGAGAGGGAAGAAACCGACGTATGTCGCCCGGTGGCGGTACTCGTTGATCTTCTTGTCCGCTTGTTCCCGGGCCATGTAACCGCGGCCTTTGCGCGCTAGCGGGTCCCGGGAGCTGACTGGGTCGGTGACGGTGACATCACAGATCCAGACCGCCCCCGAGTCCCGGTCACGTATGGCCAGGTCGGCGGTCTTGCCGTCGACAGGGTTGTACATCGCCGTTTCTTTCGTGACAATGAGCTGTGCATCTCGCCCCATGCGCACGCACTCATCTCGGAGGGCGTTGTGTGTGTCGGTGCGACCGTGTCCCGTCCCACAGCGGAGGAGGTGGTTTGGTAGGCGTGGGTCGATGATCGCGACCTGTTGGGCGCAGTTGCAGACCCTGGGTGCTCGGAGAGGGAGGCCCATGCGGAACGCCAAGGCGAAGGCATAGTGAGGCGGCGCCAACCGCAGAGATGGGAATAGGGGGATGGCGAGGAGCCAGTCGCCGGCGCCATACCCAGTGAGGGAGAGGAGCCGCTGGGTGTGGCCGCTAAGGGGGTTGGGGTCCATCACCCGTGACGCAGCCAATTGATTGGCGAAGCGGGCTGCGTGCACCTCCAGGGCCAGTCGGTGCTGGAGAGGTTCGTCCGAGGGTTCAGCCCGCTCGGCCTGTAGGAGCGCTAGGGCTGGAGCTGGGAGGGCCGAGTCACATTTCGCCAGCCAGGTATGGAGACGCGAGGGGCCGTTGAAGGGAGGGGCCAGGGAGCATGCCGCTGCAGTGAGAGGGCCTGTCGGGTCCGAAGGAAGGGATATGAGCAGCCGGTGGGCCTGTGTGACGCTGGTGAGGAAGGCGTGCGGGCCCTCCACTGCGGGGTCTGCGAGGCCAAGGCCGCCTAGAGTGGGGGGCAGAGAGGCCTGTTGCCACGTGCGCGACCGCTCCAGGTCACCCCGTGGGAGCTGAAGGTTGCACGAGAGGAGGAGGGTATGGAAGAGCTCCTGGCCCCAGTTGGACCATTCCTCGGTCGGCAGCGAGTCTAGGGGGGTGGTGCGGGTGAGATAGGATACGCGTCGTGAGATGCAGCGGTGGAGAAGGAGGCCCGCGGCCTGGGGATCCATGGTCGCCAGGTCGGGGAGCGGTCTGGCCATGTCAGCCAGCTGCTCCCGAAGGAAAGCGGCTGTGGCTGCAGTAGGGCCGAGGTGGCTGCCGAGGACACGAAGGCCGTCGGCGCGGAAGGGAATGCCCGGGGGGAGGACTGGGCTGGGGGGCTGGGAAGCTGACCACGCCGCGCACTTTGAAGGGTTGTGCACGAGGCCTAAGGGGCGTAGGGGCTCAGTGAGATGCATGAATGCTGACGCACATGCCGACGGCTCTCCAAGCAGTGTGATGTCGTCGGCGTATGCGAGGCAGAGCACACTAGGGAACGCTGATGCTGTCGCCTGGAGTGCTGGGTGTAAAGCCGCAGCGAAGAGCAGGGGGCCCATAGGGTCCCCTTGGCGGACACCCCGGGCACTGAGGAGGGGTTCGTTGCCAAATCCCGCGTCTAAGAAGAGGTGAGACGGTGCTCCGTAGGAGAGTTTGACGAAGGGGAGAAGCGGTCGGAGGGGCGAGTTGTAGAGCCCCGCCACAATTGCGGCCCTGTCGACGCTGTTGAAAGCATTCGACACGTCGACCTGGAGTACGAGGGCGGACGGGAATTCAGATGCGTAAGCGCGGGCTCCATGGATGATCGCCTCGCCACCCGCGCGAACTGCTACCCCAAACTGCAGCGGGAGGAAATGGGTCTGCGCCTGTGCCGTCATGGTGAGGAGGCCCACCTTCGCCACGAGGCAATGCAGGCATTTGCCTATGGCGATAGGTCGCGTACCGCCTCCAGGCTTGGGAAATGCCATGAGGCGGCGTGCAGTGAGTAGGGCGGCAATTTCCGCGGTGGAATCCCCTTTGAGCAGGCGTAGTGCAAGCTCGTGTAGCTTGCTAGCGACTGAATTGTTAGCGAGGGCAGCTTCGCGAAGGTGCTCGAAGCACATTCCTGAAGGCCCTGCGCCCACTCCGTTTTCGCAACGACTCAGCAAGCGAATGAACGCATCCTGCGAAAACGAGGGGCCTGCCTCCGATTCGTCAAGGATGGGCCAGTCGATTGACTCGGTCAACGGGGCGGGGTGCTTGGATTTCAACGCCTCGAGGACGTCGGGGGTTGAATCGCTGACCGGGGTCGAGTCCAGTGCCAGCAGGGCACGTCGGAGACTGCCACGGCGGACAAGCCCCTCTGCTCGCTTTTGCCTGCCGATGGAGTCTGCCGCGTGGCGAGGCGCGGGGGGGTTATTGACAGCGTCGGTTGCTGATAGGTACAGCGAATGCCATTCGCTCGCGAGGAACTGTTGTAGTCGTTTTTCCACGGAGGCCCAATCAGGGTGCTTGGGCAAGTGCAGGCGAAGGGTTAGGCGAGGGACGAAAAGTAACAGGCGCCAACCTGCGAGGCTGGATGGGCTGTGTGCGATGTGTAGCAGAGGTGTCAGGAGTGCTAGGGCGAAGAGCTGGCGAAGTTTGGGGGGGATTCTGCGGGAAATCGGGGGCTGGCGACTGTCGCAAAGCAGGTCGATATCCCATCCCGCCACCCCGGCGAACAGGGATTCGTTGGACGACAGCTCCTGTGGCGAAAACTGCCGAGGGTTCTGGATATCTGGCGTATTACTGGCG